AAATATTGGGCCAAATTTAACTCGGGAAAAATAACTGTTATTTTCGGTCCTTGGAATATTGTGCAAGTGCACAGACGTACATGTAACCAGTCACAGAAGAAAGCATTAAAAATGAGTTATAAAAACTAAAATCGAAAAACGCTGATGACGTGACAAATTCCGAAACAACCAAAAGAATGAGAATGAAGAATTCTTTCAAAAAAAAAATAAAACAATTTTTAAACAACGATTGTGCCATGATGCTAGATTATGAAGATGAAAGTCAAGAGGATACATCCGACATTTGCAGCCCCGATGAAATTCTCAAAAAGTAATTATTGCACCGCAATAAAAATAAACAAATATAACTGAAAGTCCTCTCAACTGGTGCATTGTTAATCGAAAAGAATTTACAATTTCGCCAAGTTTCACGTTTTTCGCCTCGAGCGTGTTGTTATATAGTGGCACAAGTTTGATTTACGGCCCTTCAAAAAGTTTTTATTAAGTACAATGTACCAATTTTTAAATTCAAGTACTAAAAAAACATTCTGCCTTATCCTGGGTTTCACCCGAAAAAAATTCATGAATACATGAAAACCAAAAGTGAAAAGTGCACCGGTTGGGGCAAAATGAAACCCATGATAAGCCTGATTCAGTCTTATCATGAGTTTAATTTTCGCCGAACCGGTTCACTTTTCACTTTTGGTTTTCATGTATTTACTATGGGCGGATGTAAAATTTTCGGGTGAATTTTTTTCGGGTGAAACCCAGGATAAGGCAGAATGTTTTTTTAGTACTTGAATTTAAAAATTGGTACATTGTACTTAATAAAAACTTTTTGAAGGGCCGTAAATCAAACTTGTGCCACTATATAACAACAAGCCTGATTCAGTCTTATCATGAGTTTAATTTTCGCCGAACCGGTTCACTTTTCACTTTTGGTTTTCATGTACATATTTAGTATGGGCGGATAAGGCAGACTATTAAAAATTATTAACCTTTCCATTTTTTATTTACCCAAATCACCTAATTTACACACCTAAATTATTTCTTAAAAATACATGACATCCACATTCGCATCCGCATCCGCGGATGTTAGCTTTAAAACATCCGCATCCGCATTCGCATTCGCCTCCGCGGATGTCTAAACTTCCACATTCGCAACATCCCTAGATTATAAGATGACGATGATTTGCGAAACAAAAATGCCAATTTAAAAATTTTTATTGGCACACTTGAAATTCATTCTGAAATTGTTATACATAAACGTGAAGAAATTAATATATGTTTGTATATGTATATTCGTGAATAGTACTTTAGAAAAATATTCAACCAATATTTAATTATTATTAAATAATAGGACGTGCGAATAAACTTGTTAGATGACTGTGTATGGTGCTACGGAGCGTATACGTTACATACACAACTACGGGTATATGGGTAGGAGTGGTTATTTTTATTTTTTTTAGTATATCTTTTTTAAGTTTTCATTTAAATACAATTTCGTTAAGGAATCTTGCTCTTTATGCAAAAATGAAGATATTTCATTGTCTAAGATATGTGTGCCACCACACGTTTTTGTCGAAAAATGTAACAACTCGTGAGATATGGTAACTTTGACTTCTGGAACTCTCAGTATACTGTTTATGGGCTTATTCTGAACCTTTTTATTTATTTATTTATTTTATTTTTTATGCCTTAGATTCAGGGGTGTACGGCGAACTTTTTCGTTTACTTGTAAGGTGGTACAGTCTAATGTACACAAGTTAATTTAGTAAATAACTATGTGAAATGGTTTTTTATTGCTTCTCTTTCCAAGCATGCACAAGCAAGATTTCGAAAATGTCTCACAGAGCAGTATTAGCAGCAATGCGCCACCAACTATCACGCCAACTAAAGAGTTTCACGAATTTAACAATACCACAGATGTTACCTGTCCAAGCTTGGAAACACCTGTCGATCAAAATATTATACAATCTACTTTGGTACGTAAATACGAGCATACAAAGTCCGGTGCATAGGTGCAACATTTTTTTTTAAGCAAAAAAAATATGTCTTTAATGCAGCCAAAGGCGCGTCCAGCTTCTGCACTGACGAGCAACAACTATTCTAGTCTTCCATGTTGCGGTGCGCGCTCCACATCATTGGATGGCAAAACGACGCGTGGCGTTAGCTGTAATGGTGAACGCAACAAGTTGGGCATCGATATAAGCGCGGTACATAATGCGGTATTACGTGGCGGATTGGCAAAATTACCAGGTAACAAAGGGACAATTAATTTGTCTTACATTTTTTTTAAATACCCCACACCTTCCACTCTAGAGCCAATTTTAAATGAGCATCCCGTTACTATATACCCCGGCCGTTATTCACCACCAACCGAGAACAAACGGAACCCTAATCGTCCAACGCGCATATTATCCTCTGTAGAGAAACACAAAGAAGTTTGCCACATACTTAATCCCTTGTCATCGATTTCCTCGTCATCCTCCTCGTCAAGTTCGAATTGTATGGGCCTGATGGATGGCGGTAAAGTGACGGAAATGCCGCATAATATTATGAAAAAGCCATATATACGTAAGGACAAAGTTACAAATGAATTTAGTTTAGTAAGTGAAGATGAATTCTCGGACGATTCGATTGAGGAGCAATCATTATCGCCAATTACATCACACTCCTCACCGCATAAACAAAGTGGCATTGCGTGGGAGATACATTTTAAGAGCAGTAAAAAGAAGTTGAAAAATTCATCGAAGAAAAAGCCACCACGTAAACATGTAATTTCAAGCAAAAGTTCTTCTTCTTAAATGAATAACACTTTCACACACCACTTTTCGATCTCTTCCAGGCCGCCGATTGTATTGTCAAAACGGAAAATGGTGGCTATCCTCTACCCATAGTGACTAGTGACTCTTATTATTCCAAAGATATTGAACGCGCTCATCGGCGAGAACCGATTGTCATAGATGCCTTGGATGGAGCAGATCAATGTTCAGCAGCCTCAGCGGATATTTTAAATCACTGCATGTACCGTCATACAAATATGTTGGGCAAAGGTACATTCATAATACGGCGGACCACAAAGAAACTACCAACAACAATGGATATATTCCGCAATGAAAGCGCAGAATTAGATAATATGCACGCATGCGATCAAAGTGACTATGAAGAGTTTTCCTCAATGGAAGGTCATGAGAACTGTAAGCCGAGCGACACATTGAGTTCCAGCTCTAGACTTAGTATGGAATTGGTAGCACCACTGGGACCACCATTGCCATCGCCGAGGTAAATAAGTTGCTTATTAACAAAGAACTGATTTATCTTACATTTTGAAAACAATTTTAAATAATTTGTAGAGATCGACTTTCTTTAAATCTTGAACCACAATTACCAAATATTTTTACCAAAGAAATATTGGCTGTGCACAAAGGAGATCGCTCATCTTCCGAAGGTTGACGCAACTTCTGAATTTTAAATGAGTTGGGTTAAATGAAATTTATTTATATTTTACAGAGCTTTTGGCACCTATTAAAAAGACATCGCTTAAAAGAGAAACTAAAAGACGCAGCACCGATTCTATTAATACGAAGTCTTCCAGCTACGAAGAAGCCGACGATAATGAACCTAACGAAAGTGCTATTTTGTTTTCGAACAAAAATAGTTTCGACGCTTGCAATATGTACGCTTATAAAAACGATGCCGCAAGCTGTTTGAAAGGGCAAGAATTTGCAGGTGAGAGAGGGGGAATATTTTAAGCCGGTAAGAACATTTTAAACAGGGAATGTTGGTAATATTGGGTGTGACATTCGACCTAAGTCCTACTGAGTGGCAGGATACGACCGTTTACCAATAGTAGTAGCGACTGTTTAGAGCAGCCAGTTCGTTATAGAGTTCATCTAGTGATGTGCTCATCAAAAGTAGGTTGTCAACGGGTAGTAGCGGCGGCGGTTATCATCGTATGGCACATATCGTGTGGCATTTTGTGGCATTTTAACCTGATGCCAGGTCTAACACACTGATACAAGCACGGACACAGGGTGGGCAGCTCCACAGACACCGCGCTGTGTGCCCTGAATACGGAAATACAAAGTTACTTTGAATGTATAGAGGCAGTGCCGTTTGCCCTCTTTGCCATCGAGGAGGCTTTCGACAACACATCTAATGTGGGCGTCGGTCGATCGGGCACTCGAGAAACGCTATGTGCAGCCTACCATTCGCAAATGGAATCGGTGACAGCGTAGTACAATTTCAAATAATAAAAGGTTGCCCGTAGGAAGGGTTGCTGTCTCCTCTCCTGGGTAGTCTAGTTGTGAGCGAACTCGATCATATACTCACTGACAATGGCGTCCGCTGTCAAGCGAATGCGGATGATTTTATTGATTATTGCTAGAGGGGTGCTCGCAAGTACTCTCTGCGACATCGCTCAAAGAGGACTTAATTAGCAAAAATTTGTGATGTGGGTCTTAATATTAATCCCTCTAAGATAGCTGTTGTTCCTTTCACCAGAAAAAGAAGGAGGAACTTAGCCTTTGATGGGGTCGCGGTAAATGTGGCACTTATCTGGGACTCCAAATTCCTGTGGAGGACTCATGTTCAATCCTGGTGATGCATCCTAAGGATCTTAAGACGCATAGGTATACCATGATAGTATGACCAATAGCAAACTGTTGAGCAGTGCTTTGGGTATCCAGGACTACTATGGCAACGGTAAGGCAGTCCCTAACAAATATTCAACGTCTGACATGTGTTTGCTTCAGCGGGAGCTATACGGACATGTCCGACGGCACCGCTGGAGGTAATTCTTGAACTCCAGCCATTACATCTTACAAAGACAAGATAGGCTCCTAACTTATATTAGTTCTGTTCTCCAGAAACGATATGCATATATTAGTAGTTTTCTAAAGAAGCTTTAAGGTTGATATATACAGCAGACGACCTGACATACAGATGGCACTAAGGCCCATGGGGCTATTGGAGCAGGCGGAGCTTATGGGTCTGTCATTCTTCGAGGTCAAATACTCATTGATTCTGGTGTCTATAGAGAAGCTTAACGCCCTTGCTGAGAACAATGCTAACCAACTGCCGATCAGTTAGCCAAAATGGCTGCTACCTCGACCCCGATAGAACGTTGAGCGCTAAGAAAGGTAAATACCAGACTAAGGGAATTACATTGGCTAATACCTATGGGTCCTCGTCGAGCTAAGAGCTTACTAGCTGGTATATATAAAGACTAATCATAAACCACTACAATAAGAAGACAGAGGTGCATAGGACACCGAAGACCAAGAGAAGATCACATACACTTTCTTCCCCCGTGATCTATTCTGAAATGGGTAATCTTCAGGGCTACATATATGCAGTGTTTTGATGAGATAAGGGCTGAATCATAGAAATATTGGGAAAATTGAGCAAATGTAGCGCCTGGTCTTATGAAATAACTCGAGCTTTTCGTAACTTTGAGTTCCAAGAGCTGCCTTTTTGATTTTTTCAAAATACAACCCCAAAAAAAATTCTTACTGAGCGCAGCGCTAACCGAAACCATAAGGTATATCTTAAAGTATCCGACAGTTTAAGAAGGCTGTGATATGGACAACTGCGTTATTCGACGGCCGAAAATGGTCTCCATTTCATTAACTGACGTCCAATGATCCGAATGGAATTGTTCAGAAATTCCTGACTGTAAAAATTTCAGACCAAACCCACAAACTGATGGACAGAAATTGGATTGGAAGTAGGCAATAGTAGATTCAAATAATGAAGGGATTAAGTTTGTTAATTGCTGATATTACTTGCTTGTGGAGGTCTCCATTTCGAAAAGATCGGCTTATGAATTACTTACCATTCGAATATATAGTTTGGTCATCTTTCAACCTTTCGCAGATTTGCGCCCGTCCACAACAACGACTCCACATACCGATCTCGCACCAACACTTGAGGAGGAGGAGGAGCAATATAGTGATTTTAGCTATAGTGGTGCACCTGTTAAGCAACATGAAAAAATCGATAGCGATATAAACGCGCTACTGCGCGGAGATATCGCTGCGGTACGTATCGTTGAAGGCGGTGCGCATCCTAAACGTCCACTCGAATTTCGTCCCGGTGTGCATAAGTCGGAGAGTGCAAAGGAGATGTTATTGTCTCAAAGTGCATTCGGTCCATTGCCGCCATCGCCACCTTCATCCAATCCAGACTTATTTGTGAGTATAATTATTGAGTGTTTTATGTATTACATAGAACATCCGCCATAATTTGCATTTCCCCCTTATTACTAGGACTACGATGCTCTACCACTGCCACCATCTCCGAAGGATGCACTTCTAGCTAGCGAGGGTAATCGCAGTCTTGTGAAAAGCTATAAAAAGACGACAGCTGCTGAAATTCATACGCCTTCCTCATTGGGCGATGAACGTCGGAATCGTGACAATATGAACGCTTTGCGTTATCTAAGCAACGATTTGCCGCCACCGCCACCACTACCACCGCCCGCATTTGAGAATATGGCACCGATTGTGCCACCACATCGTGGACATTCGGTGAATACGATGAAATCTTGGTCCATCGATTCACATTATAAGAAGAAATCACCGAAAATGTTAGGTTATGGTAGTGGCATTACAACGCCAACGGGCTCCCAATACGATGGTTCGTACTCAACGAAACGTTACGTTAACTATGGCACCAAACGGAGCCTGAAGCAGTCGCCACGCGAAGAATTGCGTTTGCAAACTTCATGCAGTCTGCCGGAGACACCAATTTTTGCACGAGGGTAAGTGAAGGGAACGGAGTAGACGATATTGAACATATACATATGTAAATTTATTTCGTCCTTATCTTAACAGAAGCTGTGACATACCACGCACACCCTTTAGACGGCAACCGGAAAGTAGCATAAGTGGTTCCCGCACAGCACCACGCTCCAGCACATCACACAGTATTAATATGGGTAATACAATGGGTGGCATTTCGGGTGGTAAGTGTTGGTTATTTAAACATTAGTGAGAGATTTACTAACTTCAGCCTCCTCCAGGTGGTAACACATTCGGTGCTGGCATGTGCCGCCAACGTTCCATGAATCATGCGCTTGCCTCCAATGAGATGCTGCGCTTGGCCGGTGCACCAGCACGTGGCTGGTATCCAAAACAACGTACTATGCGTCCAGCATCGACTGAGAATATTGATCGCTTGAGTTCATCGCGTGTCTGGGATAGTGCAGCTGGTATGTCTGGTACCGGACACTCAAGGAAACCATTGACGCTGCCACCCAACTTAACGCCATCATTTTTGAATAAGTCACCACGAGAAGCTTTACGACGCGTTACTAGTCTCTTGATAGCGAAAAAGAGTAAGTATACGAGTCATAATTAGAAATCAGGATAATTAGAATGAAGGACTTTTGCAATCAAAGCTTTGCTCCAAAGCCTTAAGAGCTTTCTGGCCTAAATGTATGCTTTAATATTGACACTGAATTAATGAAACCTGCTAAGTAGAGATTTAAGCATAAGATTTAGATTAAGATTAGTACAACGATGAAGGTAAAATAAATATGTAGATGAAGCAAAGGATAACGGCAAAAAAATAAAAATAAAGATTTGTAGATTAAATAAGATTCGATTTAGAGGAGGGAGCAGACCACCTAATTACCGCGATCGAAACTATCTATTATAATAAACCTCTATTCAATTGATCAATTCTTTGATCCACGTATTGCTAAGAAAGCTCGTGTGGTCCTTTGGGTGAATGCCATTTAGGTCGTGTGCTTCTGGGTATCGTCATCCTACGAAGTGAAGGCTGGTCCTGTTGAGAGCTTCACAGTGACACATATTGCGCTGTTTCCTGTTCTTCTTTGCAAAACCTACACCGGTCAGAGTTAACAATTCCTAAGTTTGACAAGTGTTTCATTACCTTACAGTGGCCAGCAAGAAAGCCTGTAACAATTCTTACTTTATGCCTACTGAGGTATAGGAGTTCTTCGGTTCTCCTTGTTGATATATACGAAATAAAGGACTTGGCCTGTCTATTACCTTCCGCATTTGTCCAGTAATGTTGCGCTTCTTTCTTTATCTAGATATAGTAATTTCGCTCTCCATGGGAGACCAGTAGAGGATCCTGGGCCTATGAATCCCTGTGTAGCCCCTTTTCTGGCGAGAATATCTGCCAATGACTCCACTGTGTCCCGGTACCCACATAAATACCTTACTAAATACCCAGCTTTGAGGTGACCTCGTACGCTTAAAGAGCAAGCAGTGCCGTTCTGCTGTCTGAGTGTATGTAAATGTGTTTTTGGTTACTCCACTTTCTACATACTGCCTCCGACATAACTCAATGGCATGAACCTTGCCTCACAGATAAAGTTGCCTTACCCTATGCTGGTGAAAAGGAGCCGTCTGGGTTGTAGGCCGAAAACTCCTACTCCGACGCCGTGGTCTTGGAGCCGTCAGTAAACCAGATGTGGCTGTCCTTCCGGGGTTTAGGTCGCTCGTTATCCCAGTTGCCGCTATCGGGGAAAAATACCCCGAAAATTTTTGGAAGTTAAATTTCGGAAGGCACAGGTCTACAAAGCTTATGTGCAGCCCGTCTTCTTGTTTTATAACCCTGATGGTGGAAGGGTGTATACACTTCTTGTCCTCTACATTGTCCCCTGAGATGCTGCAAACAGTAGACCCTTTTTCTTGATTACAATGTGTAGGGGAGGCAGGTCAAGAAGTACCTCGACAGCCGCAGTTGGTATTGTTCTCATCGCGCCAGTGATGCCCACGCAGGCCAGTCGTTGTGGACTTCACTTCTGCCATCTTCCACCAAACGGGTGCAGCATAAGTAAGAATGTTTTTGGAGATGCCATCATACATCCACCTGGCCAGTTTAGGTCTGATGCCGCAGTCCCCAACCCTAGCCTAATTTTTTTTTATACAATACCTCAAGGTATTTTTTTTTATATGAATTTTTTAACTTAAAAAAAATATTGCAAACTCCAAATTAAAAATAAATTCAAATCAAATTCAAAATCGTTCAACGTAACTTATGTATTTAAAAAAATTTTTTAGTATTAACTTTTAAACGAGACCAGAACCATTTTTGTAACTATAATAGTTGTTGGGATACTCAAAAAATAAACTTTTTAAGTTTACGACATACAAAAATACGACACTTACGACACCGTTGGAATCCCCCATATGGCAATATAATAATAATATACATATGTAAGTATGTTAAAGAAATAAACTGTGTTTCAAAAGTTTTAAACCAGAAATTAAGATAGCAGTATTATTGATTGAAAGTTGAAAAATGAAATTATAGTATAACCATTATAATGACTTGATCTTCTATTTTATTAATTTTAGTCTTGATTTTTAAGTAATTCTATGGAAATTTTTTATTTTATTTCAGAAAATACTAAAGAGCGCAAGGGCAAGCCATATTCGGATACCACACTTGATGGAAATTTGACTTTCGATCAAGACACTCGTGAGTATTTACTATACTCTAATATGCCGAAATATTTATCTAAATGTGTATATTTATTAAAATAGCACTCCCGCCGCCCAAAGACAGTTCGCGGAATTTCAACAATACGTCACAGAAGCCTCAGAAGAAAAAAGGCCTTTTTAAAAGCTTATGGAAGAAAACAAAACACTTTTCGTTAGATCAATAAGTAACAATAATAGTACACAAATAAACTGTAACAATACAGAATTTTTACACATTTAGCACACAAAATCCTCCTACCCATCCATCCAAAGAGCCACACAATCAACCACACAACTACACAGTCACACGTACATACATACTCACATTCAAACATAACCATATTTATGTAAGAGAGTTGCACATTACCGATTATCATCTACATACATATTTATTATCGTTATATACTCACAGTTAGCATAGGTAAGTTATAGTCGTTGATATGATGCTCATAATTAGGTACTATATACATACATACAGACGGACAGACAGACAGACAGACAGACAGACATGCATACTTTAAAGTTTAAACAGAAAGCATTATTAAATGCTATGCCAGGCAAATTTTTACATAACATAAATATACATACACACTTAAATACACGCATACATACAGACATAAGTATTATTGCCGGAATAAAAGCATCAATACATAAAATTATGAGTACATTAAATGAAAATGAAAGTAATTAAAATAATAATATGAACACAGAGTATAGAAATGCACAAAGCCGCAAAACTAAAGACTGAATTTAAAAAAGGAACAAAAATTAATTATTGATAAATCAAATATAAGACACAACTCAGTTCAGCTTCACATAACTAAAACTGAAAACAAACAAAAAAAAAATATTACATATAAAACAATATCTTCTCATTTTTTAAGAGTTAACGAAAATAAAAATAAATACAAAATGTTCAGACTTGCACGAATCTAATAAAAACTAATAAAACTTTCGTCAAACAACTTTGGTACCAGCAACTATGTACGTAGAACTTACAGCCAAAATTCCGAGACTTACTTGTGTAAATTGACTGTAACTAATTAGAATTTAGCCATACATTGAAGAAGAAGAAGAAGAAGAAGAAGAAGAAGAACAGGAACAAAAGCCAGCAAACATTAGAGGCAAAACTGCCTAGTCATAAAATGAAGATTTTTTTTTTTTTAGAATAATGTACTTATTTTCTACACTCTTCCAACCTACATTGTAGTGACAACAACTACACTAGAAATACATACATACATACTTACATACTTACGAACGTGTGTTGGGTTATATTTACTATTTAGTGAACGAATACTTTTAGCATTTGAATGCATGTTTTCGTATAGTCTTTACTTTAGTTTTTTAAGTACATATACGAAAGTATTTTGAGAAAAAAAAAAAAGAAAGTATATTTTGAAAAAGGTCAATCCTCTTTTAAGCAATATTTGGCTATCTTTCATATTGTATGTACTATGAGACCGATAAAATACAAGTATGTAATATCCTTCATTTATTTAAAGTATACCTATGTATGTATTATTAGACATTTTTATAAAGCAAATAAAGTTAGCAAGAAAACAAAAGCAGTTAGTAGGAAAGCACCAAATTGTAAAATCACTCAAATTAACTTATTTTTATGAACGTTAGATGTTCTTCTACAACTTAATACTGAGAAAACTTAGGTCATGTTTACAGCTATCAACGAATGGAAATAAGGACGACCTGCAATGCCTGCAAGTAGTTTGTCAGGCACTTAAAAGAAATATGTACATATGTCCATACATATACTCTAATCATTCAAGCTCATTTGGAGAATGACGAGGATTTTATAAAGTACTTATGATAATTACAGGTAAAGCAAAAAAACTATAAAAATCGTCCACAAATAAAGAAATCGTCATCTGATTGTCCATTTCGCGTACAGATGGGAGCAACTGATTAAAAAAAAAATTTAAGCAGAGTCCAATAATAACTGTTTGATATGATTTTTGGAGATTGAAAAAGTTGACCATAGATCGAAGAATATTTTTATGTTCTTAATTATGAGTTATTGGTTGCGTTCGCCACATACAATTTTTTAATAGTTTTCCTAGTCTTTACAAGTTGGCGTTCGATAATGACTAAAAATTATCTATCACTCAAAAGATGAGAGAGCAAACGTTCATTTCGCGCTGGAAAAACTTAAGTTATCTAAAATTATCCAACACGAAAACAGCGGTCGAAAATCCAGCAAGAGTTACTCAAAATATCAGAGAAAGAAAAAATTCCCTCTCAAGTTGAGAAACTTGCAATTTTCTGTACGAATGTAAATTTGCAGGAATTTGCAAGTTGCCTTGCCAGCTGGTGTCCACGGTTGCATTTCAAACCTAATCAATTTTTATACAATTTTTTAAATTCTCTTAGATGTACAAAAAACGGGGGTGATCAGAAATATAGGCCAGCTCTCTTCTACATTCATCCACTAGTTGAGGTCTAACAGAGGTTTCGGCATAGAAAACGCTTGCATATTTAGTCTGGTTGGCGAAAAAATAACTTTAGGTTATATTGCTCAACTAAAATCTCTGCGCTAACCGCGCATTCCATCCTTGATCCATCAGTAAAAACATTTAAGCCATGCAAGAACTGGACCTTTTCTAGAGCCCGGTCAATGCGGCTTGGGAATTTCGTGCAGGGCTTGTGGTGAACCCAGGTCTTCGACAGGATGCAGACAGTGGGCATCGCTTTAATTTCAGGCGGTAATTCGTTTAGGCCGGAACTGTGTCCGAACGGTCGTTTCTCCCATAGCCCAAAGGCACGCAGTCTGATGGCGCTGTTAGCAGCTGAGTTTTATATAAAGATATCTATCGGTAATAAATCAAGGACGTTGAAAATATTCTTTCGGCCAGGATCCCATTGCACCTGTTACGCCAATGGCTGGTGACCTCTGGATTCTAATTAGCTGTTTAGCTACGTAATCCTTAGTAAGGGCTGGCCACCAAACCAACGCTCCATGAGATAGTAAGGCTTGGACCATGAACCAAAAAGACAAGATCACGCGGGCAGGAGACTAGCCCGTTAGAATCTCATTTAGGAAAAAAGTTGAACGATTTTGACATTAGCCGTTTGTTTACATTTCTTCGTTGTTTCATTTTCGCTTGTGACAGCGTGTGTACACATAAGATAAAGAATAATTTAACACAACGGCACACTGTGTTCGCGGTTTTCTCCGTTCTCTTCGTTGTTTACTTCTTACAACAAAGATGGCGTCGAGATTTCGGCAGCTAGAAAACAACTTTTTTCGTTCTTTCCTTCCCGCGTGATCTTGTGTCTTTCGTTCATGGGCTTGGACTATAGCTGTGTACATCCAGTGCACAATGGCTGCCAGTTAAGTTTGCAATTCGGAATAATGGTCTTATTATGACAACTTAACGTAACTTACGGCTCTCTCTTAAAAATTCTGTTAAATGGGTGTTGCTTATAATTGAACAGCCGAAACTTAACGTAACTTAATGCCACGTCGAAATCTGTTTCATTTTGATTCTCTAAGTGCTACGTTCAGTTAAGTTAAGTTGCCATAATCAGGCTTTAAATCCAAGGTAATTCATTTTTTTTTACCAGATCCAGTTCTGTTCCTTGGAACCTTGGCTCAGTAAACTTAGGTAATTGTTTTATTTGGGAAGAGCATATGGTCAGTTCTTGGTCGGCCACTGTGGTGTAGTGGTAAGCAGTGCGCGCTTTCACTCATCAGCACCTGGGTTCAAGCTTTTTTCTTAACAGCGGTCGTCCCTCGGCAGGCAATGGCAAACCTCCGAGTGTATTTCTGCCATGAAAAAGAGCTTCTCAAAAAAATACAATCGCCGTTCGGAGTCGGCGTAAAACTGTAGGTCCCTCAGCTTTGTGTGACGTCATCAAGGCGCACGCCACAAGTCGGAGGAGAAAGTCGGCCAAACACTAACATATGTGTAAGCGCCAATATATTATTATTATTATACGGTCAGTTTTCTCAGAATTTACAAGAGAACAATTTAAAGCGCATAAATCTACTGTCTTTAGAGCCCCTCTCGTAATTTCACTTATCATCGAAGGAGACTGACCGTATACCAGCATTGCCACATCGTCAGCGCAAGCCACTGTCTTGATTCTCTGAGTCTAGCTTTACCAATAGTTTGTTCATGTTATAAGTTACGGGGTTTGAAGCTGTACATTTCAGATTTATTTTCTTTGTCATCACCTGAAAATTAATCCACTTCCACTCGTCATTCGGGTTGTTATGGAAATATAACGAATTAACACAATTTACTTTTTATATGGAAGACAACCCTAGCATCTTCGACAAAAGAATCTAAAAGATCAACGGTAATTTTTAGCCATTTGGAACTCTTCTTTATTCTACTAGAGTTTAATGGGCGGCAAAACTGCATACTCAGAATCTTTCTCGAAAGCTCGAAATTTGTACCAAGTTTTTTTTTTTAATATTGCACAAAGCTTGAAACTTGGATTCACACAAGTTTTATTAAAGAATTAACTATAGTTTTATAAAAAAATTATCAAAATTAAATAACAAAAATATGTTAAAACTTGTCAAAACGTGGTGCGGCCGTAAGTTGTTCAACCACTGTATATATCTGCACTCTGCATATATGGTTGCACCAATAGTTTCCGGTGCATTCGTTGGATGTTGTTGTTATTGTAGCGGCAACTTAAGCCTGCTTATAATCGGTTAATTCTTCAATCGTTGTCGTCAAGTTCAACTAGGACAGCAAAGGTGCCGGACCAAAAGGAGGGAGTCGTTAGTTGAGTTGGGAATATGAAGAGGTAATTTGTGACGTGAGGAATCTTCCCATGCATTCACTGGTCACCAACAGTGGTCTCTGTGTTGCCAGTGACCACTGGATTATCAATCGGCGCCCACCAGCAATCAACGTGGCTGTGAGCCTACGCGACAATTATGAGATAAACAACTTTCCTCCTCAAGTCGCTTAATAAACCGCGTTTCGGCCATCGCTTGACATGTTTGTCTTACCCTGTCGACAGAATAAACCAAAACCAACTCAACCATACTTCATTCGGACAAGTAAACCGTGTCAGTAGAAAATTCTTTGCCATATTTTCCAAACGATGCATAAATTCTAGCTCTTAAATACTTATTTTCTAATCAAACTATTTTGGCAACGATAAATGACGATTCAAGTCGGCTAACAATATTCCTCAATCTTTTTTTTTCTAAATAACTATAAGTTACAAACTTGCTTTCCAAATTAACAAAACTACTTTTAATATTCCACTTCTGAAGCTTGTGAGTCGCATGAACTGGATTAAAATCATTGCCAGACCTGGTGAATAAAATTTACTAAGGGGACAATTAAGCTACAATAAATTTAATGGCTCGATTATGGATAGCAACCCAACCTCAGTTGGGCAACGCAACTCGAATTAAAATTTTTATTATGTATAGCAACTATATAGTTAAGTGCTATAAAGTAGAAGATAATAGAATTTCAAGGTGCCAGCAATCAAGACTGGAGTGTAAACAGGCTGCAGAAACAGTTTAAAAAATAAACAAATTTTCTCAATCGAAATTTCCCCGACAACTCAGTTGCCAGATTTCTGTTGCTAGTTGCCATCCGTAATATCATTTCAGCCAATGGGAACGCAACTGAAGTTCGGTTGCAATCCGTAATCGATCCATAAATCTCCTCTCACAAGATAAGATCATTTTTCCAAATGAGCTTTTTTTCTTTAAACAAAAACTACTAGAACGTGTCCCAAAGCAGTACGATTGCACCCGTATTACATAGCAGTTATAGTAAGTGGAAAAGCTTCAAGGATTTCAAAAAGCACTCCTGAATGTACACAGAGTAAAATTCATCGACACATTAGTATTAGTACACATGTATGTACATAGTAAACACATACAGCAAAGATCATATTGCTATATATATATATAGTACATGCATACGTACATATACGAGTACAATGTCAGTGTCACTGTGCTCAACTTTTTTGGAACACGAAATCCATGGTCCTGTCCTCATTTTCCGTGGCGATAATTGCATCGTCTTAATATAATAATTGAATATTTAATAAGAATAAAGTTTTAATTACTTATACATACTGATTCCGCTCGATTGCATTTTTATTTCATTTTTTTTGTTTGTTATTTGTTTACTAATAATCCTAATAATATGTTAATTTAACTTGTGCCAGGTTTGTGAACAAAATATGGCCCAGGGTAAAGGGTAAAAAAAAAAAACAGGAATAAGAGTCTCAAGTGTTCACAACGGTCCGGTCAAACAAGATACATACGTCACTACAGCACGAGTACATCTTCAATACATAAATATTATGACAAAAAATAAATTGCATTTAAAATTTTGTATATAAACAATAATTTAATATTCGGCATACAAACTTTTGGAGCAGCAATTTCAAATTTCGGTTAGCCGTGTTAATGGTGATGTTGTTGCCTACCATAACACGATAGCTGCGTCATAATTAATTATAAACAGCGCCAAGAATTTCAAAAGTTATGCTACATAACTGTATTCATCCCCAGAATTAGGAGTTCGCTCAATGTATTGTTTATCAATTAACGATTCGATGCATTTTTTTATCATTGAAATACTCGGTGTAAAGCTTACTTTCGACTGCGATAAAATCTGTAAGAGAAATGGGTTTATTATTCATTGCAACAGAGTATTGAGAAAGTCAAGAGTAACCTCCCCCCTAAAACTATTTTTATCTTTTGAACTCAAATGCAGTATTATAATCAAATAAGTATCTCTGATGAGCACATAAATTCTGATAAACATTCAGATTATTTTTAGCTTTGCAATCAGTCCGAAAATTTTGTAAGTGATTTAATCATGGGGTGGCAATAATAAATACAAACAAACTTTTCAGTCTACTCACCTCTTGTATGAGTGCATTGTGCTTCAAAACTTTGCGAGATTTCATAATACGCACGATTGCTGCTTGCAGATATAGTTTCCTGTCCTCGTCCACCGCACTGATTGTATGTTCAATCTGCTAAAATATTACAAAAATATTTAGTAGTATTTATATAAATAAAACTTGTTTTTGATGCATCTCTTACTTCTTGTGGCGTTTCCTTTTGCATAGCAGATGTTATTTTGAATTTTGTTCGCTTATTCGAGTAATCGAAATTCAATTCGATTTTTGTATTGCCTTCTAAAACTTCTGAACTAGCATTAAGCAATTTCGACTCCAGCAGGGATTGTAAATGCTTCTGAAACGTTTCACCATTCAGTTGTAGCGTGGTTTGTATATCCTTGCAAGTAAGCGAATCACATGATTCGAATAACAATAGCATGGCCATTTGGTAGGTTTGCATGGTTACGATGTAAGTTTTCTTCAGATAGCCAAGTTTCAGTTCGCCATGGCACATATGATGTAGCCACGTCAGTTTCCGGCCATTAAATGAATTGTGATAGAATGTTTCAAACTGTAAAATAAATTGTATAAAAGGGGTAATTTACAAATTTGTAATAAAATTGCATAATAATAAATTAATATGCCATACCATTCTGATCGATTTTTCGAATTCCTGAGGCACCGCAAAAGGTATCACAACCTGTGTGGGTCCCAATGGCCATGCGCCAGCTTGAAGCACTTTGATGGATAAATTAATGCCTGTGGCGAAATTAAAAAAGGAGTGTTTAAAAATGTAATATTTGTCTTAACGAGTTAGTTGAACGCACACCCAAAATAAAGGTGAATATTCGGCACTTACCTAAATCAATGTTTTCCTGTTTCAAATGATTGTTAAATTTATTATTCAAATCCACCGAAAGCGAGATATCCGTAAACATACGATGTAGCTTATTTGTAAATTCATAACCACAAGCTTGCTGTGGAAATGAAAAAAATAGTATCAATTAAATAAATGTGTAACTAAGTCATATTTGAGTTATCTATTTCACCTTCAATCTATTGATCATTGCTTCCTCCGCATCCATGCTCTGAGATTGCTCGTGAATTAGTCTAAATTGTTTACAAGAAAACCTCATTATGGTTCCGATTTGTCTCCTTTTTTTAACTCACCTTTTTGCCAACAGTCTACTATAGAATTTTTGATAGACATCTTTGTCTTCGATGTACTTAAAAATAGTTATATTGTTGGTGAGTTTTTGGTCGATTTCCGCCTCGGTAGTCTTGGATTTTTTCAGCAACGTATCACAGTACTTCGCAACATACTCAGCACTTCTGCAAGGTTGTCGGTCGCTTGGGCGGCGATTGATGACACTCGCACATGCCTTATCCAAAGCACTTAGAAATAATGAATCGTTCTCGAATACATCAGCAATAAGCTCCTGATACTTGTGATGTACTTTTAGCATATTCTCCACAAATTGTATATGAATATTTTCGCCCGACAGTGTTGAAATAGTCTCTAGTCCTTCGTTTTTGATGTGATCTAAGAATGTTTGGATTAGCTGCCCTTTCAGATTATCCGGTATCGGTTTTAATATTATGTACATATTGCGCAAGTCTTTGCGTTTTTCTTGCGATACCATATCTTTGCATTCGGAGTATAGAAAATCAAGCCGCTGATTTACAAACCGATCCTCACATTGTTTACGCAGTTTGGACAATGAGCTATAGAAAAGATTCGTCCGAAATAATTATAGATACTTGATAGTATGTATCTAAAAAAAATATTTACCTGGTGTGCAGGAACTTTTGTGCACGATTACTTTCATCGTATAATATCTTTATGACCTCCTCCATATACTGACTCACAGTACACGTCTGCAATAGCTTCGATGCCTCACTATCATAATATTCTCCGCTAGCCACAAGTAGTGGGCTTTCAAAGAGTTCTTGATACAACTTAAGTGAGCCATTCTTTTTATAGTCCTGGACTTGCACAAAACTGTGGATTACACCGTTAATTATCTTCACTCGAGTGGTGTTAATTTCTGGACTGCCACAACGATCTGCCTTAATTCCTTCCAAAATATGTTTGACCAATTCGCCACTGAGTGACTTTATCATATAAATGCGCCAAATGTCGAGACCCAGCTCGCCAATTTCCATTTGTTCCAGCGTTTCGGTGGACAAATTGCCATATACCACTTCAGCATCGGAGATTTTTTGTTTCTTAATATGCTGTTGGTTTAGGTAACTGAAATAAACAAAATAAGTGAGTATCACTCTGTGTAATTGTGGTGGAAATATGCTACTTACGAATACAAATTATCTAAGTACTTGACACCCTGACTATATTCGGACCACGCATCATAATAACGTTGCAATAGATCAGGTTCACCATCTTTTTCACTTGATGAACCGCACGAACCAGGTGCTACTCTTGTTGCCAACATATTTTGCACATGATTTTCCAAAAACTGTTTTGTCTCGTAATACAGCTTATCAGCGAATGGCTCTGGATGCGCCACACACAACGTGTAGACATCACTAAATGTTGGAAGGAAAAAATTAAAAATTTTTTATTGTTAAAAATTCACTCCGCGGATGTATTCATGTTGAATAAGAAATACTCACCTGAATCGGGTACTCCAATCTGTGCGATTAACATTGCCCAGGGTTATGACCGCTTCAGCGGTGCTCCTCAGATTTGGCCAAATTTCATTGAAATCTACACTCTTCGGGGTCAAGGACATGCTGGCTGTTTTGCTATTTAATGCAACTGCAACAAATAGTGGAAAGCAGACAGAATAAGCAATGAGTATGCCAAAATATGAAAATGTCGAGCAACGAGCGTGTTGGGTGGTGGAGTGCAGGCAGTGATGGCATTAAACACGAAAACCCGACAGAACAGCTGTCGTGATGCAATATTTTAACGTTTTGTGAATTGTTAAGCACTTTTAGCGCATTCTTCAGAACTTTTGGAATACTTCAATAGCGATAAATCTGCGTTTTATTATTTTTAATCAATCATAAATTACCTGCAAAACTTCACTCCGTAACGATAAACGTCCTCCTTGGTCTTGTTCTTCTGCTATTCATGCCAGCATTCACGGTAGATGGGAATAAAATTATTAGTAGGGGTCTTCATTTAAAATGCATCCTTTCCTGAACACACCACTAGTAATTGAATTAATTCTACAAAAAATATTTAAATTATATAAAAGCAATTTCGCTATTGTTTTTTATATTTTTTTTATAGCGGATTTATGTACATAAACTTATTACGAACAAACCAAAGAACCCTAGAAGAAAAGGACTTTTTCCTGACCTCTTACGATCACCAAAAAAGGTAAATCCATTGCATTGCATTGTCACTGCAAAAAAAAATACTTTTTTTATTCGCTCGTTCATGCCACCAACAAATCGGCTGTAATCAAGGTGTATTAAACAAGGTGTGATTGACAACTCAGTGCGGCTCTCTTTTAAGGTACTATAATGTCAAAAAGTATAAACAAACAAATTAACCCTTAGTGATGCATGTATCTTGTCAGCACTGATACCAAGGCTTTTATTTTGATTATAGATTTGTTTTACTTACATTACCTGGAATATATATATTTTGTCAATAAAATAAAAAAAATCATTTTAGCAATTTTCTTGTTTTTAATTGCCCAAGTTTTATGCTTTTGTGCGTTTATTTTTATATTTAAATTTTTTATCATAAACATTATTCGACACTTATAGAAGTATGATTTTACATTTGTTTCCAATTTTATATGAGAGCTTAACTCTAACAATTTTGAAATTAAATTTTTTTATGCGAAATAGTTTGGGTATAAACGCGCTCGTTTGAAAGTGCTTGACTCGGACGGACAACAAATGAAATCACTTTCCATGAAGTGGTTTTCATAAACGCGAGATGAATCACGTAGTACAACACTACATCGCTGCCGTCTCAACTCGCAACTAGGTGGTTTAAAACATCGCTCTATTTTCGTGTCCTGACTTCTATTGCATACAGCGCACCGTTCAAAAGTTTTGCTCCGTTTCCTCTAGGTTTCCTTACATTAAATATTTAATAAAAGTCGAACGTACATATTTACTTATTACCAAACTTTAAATATGCTCACTTGCTCTCCTCGGCGGTTTATCTCTTAACAATTTCACGTTTATTAAGAAAATTTGTTGCTTGAAAAATATTTGTGTAAATTTTTTTTAAACAAATTCAAATTTGAAAAAAATATTTTCAAATGGGTTAACAATTCATTTCAATTTGACATTATAGCCTGTTTCTTATGAGAGCAATGTCAAAATCAATCACACTTTGTTGCATACATTTTGGCTGTAATTCTTTATTCATTCTGAACGTTTGGAATAAAATTTTTTGCTTACTTATTCTTTAGAACGTTCCTGATAGGGCTGTGCGATTAATTGATTACTCAAAATTTTAATTAATCATAATCACTCAATTATTCGATTAATTGGAAATTATGATTACTCAAAAGTTCAGTTACTCAAGTAAGCAAGATTTTTGATTAACAAAAAAAAAAAAAATTGAGTAAGTTGCTTTATGATTAATCAACATTTCGAGTAAAATGAGTAATCAACATTTCAACTCTTTACATATGTATAAAGTAGTTAAAGTTCCTTGATACTTTGAAAACAAAGTTTCTGTTTTCAAAAATTAAAACGCAACATTTTTTTCATATACAGAATGTAAAAAAGAAAATAAGCATTTTCCAAAGCAATCTCTTTTAACGAGCAAAATTATTTTTTGTGAGTAATTTCAAGTTACTCGATTAATCATCGTTTTGAGTAATCAAAATCTTGTTTACTCGAGTAATTGATTAACCGAATAATTGATTAACCAACTTGCTCGAGTAATCAAATAATCGCACAGCCCTAGTTCCTGATGATATGTTAACGTCTATTTCAAACGCATTCTGTTTATTCCGGCTGTGAAATGGGATTATCCGGAATGTATAAAGAAACGCACCCATCATTTTAACAATCAGAACAATACGCCTTGAAGCCAGCCGCTTCTTTAAAACCACCTTTATGAATTGGCTTTGGATAGCACTCATGAACCAAAAATACAAGATCACGCGGGCAGGAGAGTAGCCCGTTAGAATCGCATTTAGGAAAAAATTTTAACGATTTTGACATTAGCCGTTTGTTTAAATTTCTTCGTTGTTTATAATTTGGTGGTGGTTTTTTACAACAATTTTCTTCATTTACGCCTGTGACAATGTGTGTACACATAAGATAAAGAATAATTTAACACAATGGCATGATTTATTGAAGAATTTGCATAATAAAAATGATTATTCATGCGTTCAACAATTTCGCGGTTTTCTCCGTTCTCTTCGTTGTTTACTTCTTACAACAAAGATGGCGTCGAGATTTCGGCAGCTAGAAAATAACTTTTTTCTTTTTTTCCTTCCCGCGTGATCTTGTGTCTGTCGTTCATGAATAGCGCTATGGTGAAAACAGCGGTTTCGCTGTGACTTCAGGCTGCGTTAATCTGGTAACTCTGTTTAGCAAACAAAAAAATTTATTTATTTTTTATTTTTGTCCTTGATTTTGGACTCACAAATATTTGTTGCCGTCTGTGGTTATCATCAAAGAAAGCTACCTTCTGTGCTGGAAGATGACTTCACAGGTATGCAGTTATCAGGGCTGCTACACACTGCGTTTCCCTTGCAGTTCGCTCACATTCTTCCAATTGCCAAATGACGAGCCACGTCGTACTCAATGGATCCTAAATAGTGGAAATAAACAGCTTCAGAATCTCAAGGCCAATCAGCAGCGCTACTTTTGCGAATACCACTTTAATAAAAACGACATAAAACCACATTTTTATCGGAAACTATTGTATAAATATGCAGTGCCAGTGCCATATAAGAGTGACAATGTCCGTACGACTACCTCAAGCACAGCAGACGGCACAGATTTTAAAGACTTGAACGAACTAGAAGAGGATGTTAACGTGACTGAGGAAGCATACATTTCTGACTGCAATCAAGTAAATGAAATAAGGTATACTTTTCATTATAAAATTTAGTACTGGGTTGGCCAGTAACTCTGTTATATATTGCTTAGTGATGTAGAATACGAGGATGATCTTGTAGAGAGCCTGGATATTTCGTCAACCGATGTTGCTTTACTGGACGAAGAAACTGATGAGCAATGTATGATAGCAAGTATTATTACGGAAGACTACAGAATACCGGCTTTCCAAGAGAGCAAGGACAATTTGGCAACAACGACAGACTCCGATGCGAATGAAGAAATAGCTGCGATTGATACGGGACCTACTATTTCTATTGATGTTGACTACCTTGACACCACTCCTGCTGAAACGTCATCAGCTATCATTACTTCGACAGCTTCCTCCACTACTAGCGATATCGTTAATGAAGCTACAACCGGAATTGAATATGATGCTGCAGGTACAACTTCGCTAGTAATGAACAATGATCATGAAGTTAATAACGAGCCAGGAACTTCTGATAAATCATATGAATCTGACAAACATTTTGCGCTATCACTGGTATATTATTTTCAACGTTTGAATGAGAAGAAGAAAGCAAAAGCCAAAATTGATATACTCAGCTACCTAGTAGCGCTTGAGCTGGACAACGATGCATAATTAGATGCTGTAATTATAGTTCAAGATAATAATAGCTGCTAACACAATAATAATTTAAGATAAGTGCAGGTATGGAGCTTTTTATTTTTTAGTAGTTTCATTTGGTTTTTCAAAAAGAGTTTTGCGAATATGAAATTTCATGATTAAAGTTTATTATCAAACAGGTTGAGTAAAACCGCTGCTTATGTTGTAGCGTCATAAATTGTTCTATAAAAGTTGTTGGTGTATTCTCTAGAAGTCATTGCGATATATGTATGCCAAAGGCTCTTTATGGCGTTAAATGTAAATGCCGCAGTACCATTTTTATTACTATAACAACGTGTTGTTTTGGTAACAATTCCATAAATAAAACAACTTTGTTTTTAGACTAAATTTTATTTGCAACATCTTTTTTTTCTCAAAGAAAAAGTTGCTTTACTAATCTATGCTAAATATTATGCCGTATGTATAACAGATGATTCCTACATTAAGCATTAAATCGACTATAGAAAAATATCTCAATAATATTTTTTATAATATACAATAGCTTATGATTTTTATTAAATTAATATAAAATCTAAGTTAAAACTATTAAATTGCAAACTAAGATGTAATATATCTCAATATATATGTATCTAAGTGTAAGTTTTGTTGTAGATATTTTTCAAAAAAAAAGGTTACTTGAGAAGGCAAAATATTCTCACCGCGGTACAGAAATTTTGGAGTATCACCTTCATCGAGCTTTTATTTCTTATAATACACTTCAACTTATTAAATTATTATATTGTTTGTGCTACAAAACTACAAAAAACGCTACTCCGAACTTAAGGAACGCCGATATTACAGTCAGCAGTTAACTTAAGCAACAAAAATTGGATTTTTCTTTTCTACATTGTTTTCACTGCTACACTGCCAAGCTTCGTAAATACACACATATCCTTAGTTTTTGCAAATAATTATAATTCCATATATCCATGTACAGACTTCGTTTGTACATACATATGTATGTGTGCGCGTCCACCTTGTTGATTGTCATGCTACTAAATATATGTTTGGTTTTCATTTTATGCAAGAGAAATATAGATGGGAACTAAATATTTACATATGTATGTACATTAGGGCGTACCAGAATAAGAGGTCGCCATACACCTTCGAATCTGAAGTATTTTTTGCAATTTTGGAAAACATTTTTCTTTTTTTTTGCTGAACATTTTTCGTCATACATTCCTTCGGTCGGCACTTACAGTCAGTCGGATCTTAAAATATGATAAATCGATGTTTTTTCTCCAGACGAAATTTTTTTTGTTCTTAAGTTCATTGACCTCAAGTAACCCATTCTAGTACTACATACCTAGTTCTTATCACCCTACGTTCCATCCTAATAACGGTGAAATAAACCTCACCAAAACTTATTCGACTTTTTGTAATGAAGTATTTCGATTATTCCAGTAAATGTCACCGAAATAATTAAAAAGGATATCCCTAGATTTGGCCAATACCAAAACTGGTCTTTCAAAATTGCTTTGCAAAAATACTTTAAACGCAGGAGTGTACGGCGAACTTGTTTGTGTTTATTTGGAATCTGGTACAGTCTAATGTACACATGTAAGTAGTGGATAAAAAAAACATTATTTTGAAATCCTTTCTTTGGTAAAGAAATATACAAAAATCAAACAAGAAACACTTTTTTTAAGGACGAGTACAAGCTTGCGTTAATAATTTTAAGAGAAATTAGGTTTCTTTAAATTAACTTCTAGCTCACTGTTTTATTTCTAATTCATATATGCATAGGTATATATGTACGTACATCCTAGTTGACATTTAAGCTTGAAATTGCGATTTTAAAATTCGTTGAGACCATCGATAGCTATTTCAGAAAGCAGTTTTTATTGCTAGTAGAGGAGATTTTGTTTCTTTACAATAACAATTATAGGCCTGGCTGCTTCTTTTTATTATAAATATATTTTTAAGTTATGCATTTGAAGCAAAAAATTAGTAGCATGGTTTTTAGTTAGATTCTTAAAACTTTTCAATTCAAAAATTCTCTGATTCTTAATTCTTTAATGATTCTGCAGAGCTAAATCTTAGACTAAATTTTCTACTGATTTGCTTATCTAAGAGAGCTGTTTTAAATATACATATATGCATATATTGCGCATGATTACTAGTTTTATATTACATTTTTAAAAACATATGGAGTATATATGTATGTATGTATGTATGTCTGTCTCTCTGTGTGCGAATATATATAGTTGAAATCATATTTCTAGGTGGTCGCTTTTTAAATGGTGGGCTTTGTTCGAACACAACATGCGATGAATTTGGCGTTTGGTATAATTTATTAATATATGTATAAATACACTCATGGACAAGAGAATAGGTGTAAAAATGACATTATTTGCGACTTATGCCAAATTTCCACTAGGCATTGAAATGACAAAAAATGCATGTCATTTGAAGAATACCATGTGGAAACAAACTTATTGGATTTTTTATGAACGTAATCAAACGGATATTTTCTAATGCCCAACATTGCCATTAAAATTTTTCTCATTGAAATTACGTAAAATATGTGTAATTTAAAAAATTCAATGTGGAAACAAACTTAATGAACATTTTTCTTAATGCAATGGCAAAAGTATTTTTTAACGACCCGTTTTGTTATACATATTTATGTATGTAATTTAATGCCTTGTGGAAATCCGGCATTATGTTTATTTATTCCATATAAAATATAATTCCATCTATAGCAGTAACCACATAAACAAAAGTTCAAAAGTTTTCGCAAAGTTGCCAAAAATTAATCAAATTAACAAAAAAAAAATATCAAAATTTCCAAAAATTGTTATCAAAATTTTAAAAATTTTGTTCAGAATAAAATATGGAAAAATATACTCAACGCCTTGACAAAAAAAAAAAACCAAAAAAATCAACGTGAATATTTAGCGACATGAAACACTAAAATTAAATGGGCTACAAAATTGCGTACTCGAAAATTTTGTAAAAATTCTGAATAAAAAATTTGAAATTTTGATAACAAATTTTAAACCTTCATTAATTTTTGTGGACTTTGTGAAATCTTTGAAAACTCTATTTATGTTGTTTCTGTTATGGATCAAACTATATTTTAAATGATTATTATTAAGTCTAAAAAAATAAACATAAGTTGCAAATAATAATATTTTCAGCTGTAAAAATTAATTTTCGGGTTTCTTTTACATCGAATTTAACCGTTAACAACAAGGAGAACTCGCTTGTACAGACTAGTGCAATCTAGAAAGTTTTTATTCATAAATTCGAAGTCTCTACAACAGTAATTAATTTTTCCACACAATTTTACTTGGTAGTTCTTTTGGTTGAAAGTTTCAAATAAAATCAAAGGTAGACAGACATCTGGTAATATGGTTGTGGAAAATTTTCTATTGCAGCGTTTCAAAAGGACAAGTTTAGAAGAAATAGAAAAGTTTTAAAAGAACAATTTAAGTTAATTTTTGTTTTGCAATACATACTTTATCAAAATTTTATAGTTAGTTTGGTTTTCATCTACTGACTACATATTTGCAGAGTGTGGTTGTGTTCTGTCATATACAGTCAGCGTCAAAAGTATAACGTTTTGACGATTTTCTTTATTTATATTTTCCATACCATTTTTTTTTAATTTTTTATAAAAATGTAATTCATTCTACAGCAGAATCAATTTTTTTAATTTCATATAGAACTCGGGGGGAAAATTCAGGAAATGTCAAAAAATTTTCATCAAAATTTGAAACTTTTCAATTCGTAAAATTTTGAGTATGCTGTTTTTTTGCCCATTAAATAAGATGCAAGTTTCAAGTCTCTAAAAGTTACCGTGGATTTTTGAGAATTTTTTTGTAAAGGGTGTTTCGCATTTTCTTCCATATAACGCATGAATAAAATCTATTTTTATATGGAGGAAAATGCGCAACACCCTTGACAAAAAAAAAAATTCTCGAAAATCAACGGTAATTTTTATAGACTTGAAACCTGAAGCGATTTTACAGACAATTTTAGAGGAATGGAGGGGTGAATGGAAAGTTGGCTACCCCCAACGTCATTGGGAGCGATTAGTTGAAAGGCCTGTAAAATCACCTCTTGTAAACACCGTATAAATTTTAAAAGTTTCATGAATCATGATATTTAAAATTTCACACAACTTTTCTTCGTTTGAAATTTTATCTGATTTAGGACCACAATGTTGACCAAGCTTACTTCACCTGTTTATTGCGCCATGATACCCTGTCGGAAGCATCAGCAACCAAACTGAGAACTATAAAAAACAATAATTTAGTCGCCCAGTATTTTATAAAAAAAAAAAAAAAAGAAATGGTTGCAAACAAAAAAAAAAACAAAAAAAAAATGGTTGCAAAGGAGATTTATAGAAACAAATGACAAACGAAATTCGGCGTTTCTTTTTCACTTGCTGATTCGTAATATTTGTTATAGTGTTTGTGCAAATGGTCGTCTGAATGTAATAGGTTGTCTTCTTAAACGCATCAACGCAAATAATCAGTCTCTTTTATTTCTTAATCATGACACATAGTTAATTCCAATAAGCGCAACTACGAAAAATTTCTAATTTTGCTCAAATTGGATACTTTAGGTTTAGGGAAGAAACAGACAGATGATTTGCATTAATGCGTTTAAGAAGGCAAAAATACTGTTATAATAAGACAGCATTTACTTAGAAATATACAACATATGTGTATGTGTATATATTTTTGCAAATAGGTATTTACATATCGTCACCATGATTGCAAAAGTTCCGGCCCTGCCAGACAAACTTTTAAATTTTATACGAGAAGAAATTTATATGGGAATAAAGTTCACAATAAATCTCGTATTTTTTTGAAAGATTTGACTATGCATTTTGCTAAGGAGATGCATCTGAGATCAAAAAAGCGTCAACTAGGGCCTCTTGCGTTAATCATGATGATATGCATTTCTTTTTATGGTTATGTATTGTAATTTATTAAATCATTTATGATTATGTAATATTTTTTATTGAATTTATTTCTTTTTACACAATTCTTTATCATGACTTTATACTTAGTATACATATATACATACACTCGTACTTACTTGTACATACAATTAATTTATCGATAACATTTTGTACAGAGATAGCTTTATATAGATTTCAAGGTACTCAGTTTTATTTCATTCTACTATAAATTAATCTTATTTTAAAATTTTTATAATTAATTTAAATTTTACATTTATTACTTTTTTAAAACTTGCCCAAATTCATATAAAAACAACAGCAAAGTATATAAAAATCAATATTTGTACAAATATACTGGAGTTGATCATTCGTTTGTAAAATGTTTAACTTTTTTTCGAATATATTTTATGGTTTTAGTTTATTTATTTTTTAATTTTTTATTTATTTTTTGTTCTTTGAAAGTTATTGTTTGCGAAAAGCCATAACATATTATACAAAGAAATATGTACAGTCTAAATTCTCAAATAATATGCATTTGTGCTCACATAAATACTATATAAGTGTCCTTATAAACAACTTAAGATAACACTGACCACTTAAAATACTCTTAATTCTTAAAAGAGTCACGAAACTTTGACTGAACTACTTCAGTTTCGAATATTCTATGTAGTTTCCCAATTTTTTAAGAATACAGCATTTGGCTATGATTTAGATTAGTGAGAGCTTACTTGATCGCTCTCTGAGAGAGCATCACAGTCTCATCTATTGACTCGTTTTGTGTTAGTATGCCGACCACCAATTTACATACATAGATGAAAAAGCGCCAAGTCCATTAGTCAAAATTTTAACAGGGGAGAAAATGGCGTTCTATTAACAATTTAGTCTAGGGCCAAATGGAGAAGTTTACCATACCTGCCCCTTAAGCTGCCACAACACTAAAAACTGTTAATGAAATGTACTTGCTGACTGAGTGTTTTAAATTAAGTAATTTTGGCTGCATTAGGAAGTATTTTTTTTTTTTTAAGGATGCAATCAAGCAAATTTTCTCTATGATTTTTTAAAGATGCTTTTATATGTAAATAAAGTTAATAACAATTCAATATTTTACCCCTTAGCCTAGACATTTTTCCTAGAGACAATCTTCTGGTTTCTATAGATCATATTTTTTTCTGTGTAGTTTGGCAGAGGCCCTACAATGAATGTCCTAAAACGTTTTTTTTTACAGATTTCGACACTTATATAGAATTTGAAACTAGACAGTATTCTTCATATCCAATTTTGCCAGTTTAGTCAGATTTTGGAGTTATTTTTTTTCAATTTAAGCGAATGCCCTTTATTACTTTGCCTAATTAAGAATTTTTATTTGAGATATTTGGTACATAAAAAGAAAAACATGAAATTAGGTTATTCACAAGGTGTTATGACGAGTCGCATGATAATAATGCCACAATTTTCTTAGCGACTAAAAATATTTTTAAACAATTAACAACAATTACAAAACAAATGTAACCGTTTTCAAATTTATGACAATATGGACTGTTATTGCAGCTTGTGAATACCCTAAATATGTTGCGAAGTAGCTGTGACTTAATAAAAAGTGTCGTTGAGTGCGAGATTAATATTAAAAATACATAGCCATATAATTATGTACATTGGTTTTTATAGAATAAATAGTATGTACATATATGTATGTATGTACATATGAGGCATTTTTCGTCAGTTGAAGCCCCCACCACTCTCCGAAATTGGTGCAGGTAAAAAAAAAATCGGTTATATACTTGTAAATTCGGTGCAAAATTTTACTTTTAAATGATGAATGACGTTTTTAAATATCCAAAATGGCGAATAAATTTTTAAAAATTCATAGAATGTGCTCGAAACTTATTACTCTGGGGTTTTTGGGGTCCCTATAATCATGAATTTTTAAAATTCAAAAACGCCACTCATCCTTTAAGAGTAAACATTTTTGGCAAGAAGATAACAAAATATAATGCATAATAATAATAGCAAATACTTAATAACAATAATATTGATAATAACAATAGAAATAATAGCCATAGGCTGGCAGTCAAAATTGGGCATCAAAATACATACATATGTAAACCCAGGAAAAGGCAGATACATATCTTCTTCTTTTGACTACGTAGGTAATCACTTACATACAGTTAATATTTTGAATTTTTTTCCTACTATTTATTTACTCTTTTTTGTTCTTCATACTCACATATACTTAGTACATAAATATTTATTATATACTGTGTTTATATATAGTATTTAATTAATGCAAAAAATCTGTTTGGTATACGTATGTTTGCTTGGTTGAGTGTTTACTATGGTTTTATGTTTGTATGTAAGTATGTCTTGATTTGAATATTGCTTCTGTACAATTTTTGTTGTTCTTTGATGTTTGCTTTTTTTTTTTTTTGGATAGGACGCAAGCAACCATAAGGGTGTAGGGATATATCCAATCTATTGATTTCCTTTCCTACCCAAAATTTCAGCGTCTCCCTTATATGACAGCCGCTGTATAACACATATCGTTGGTGATACTGCAAAACGTGCTATGACTTATTACCTCTGGTGCCTAATTGATCTGTTACCTGATCGCTTCTGGCAATCGTTCATCTTTATCAGCCAAAGGAAAACAGTTTTGTTTGCTGGGTTAGAGCTGTTTCGTAGAGGGAGTCTGTTTTTATTAGAACGGCAACGCTTTTAACTCAACGGCCGAAACAGCTCTAACCCAGCAAACAACTAGATAAGGAACTTGGCCCAAATTAAACACGGAAAACAGTTTTGTCATTCGTTTATTAGGATGTAACGATTTGCAGATGCATTCCGGTGCAAGTATGAGACCGTTTTGCAGTATCGTCGACGGTATTCGTTACAGCACACTTAATCGTACTTTGCCCTTACATATGCTAGTTTAACACACAGAATTACTAAACTCCTTTTGTATAGTTTACTAGTATATGGTGTTTGTTTTTCATTTTGATTTCTTTTTTTTTTAATTTTTTTTTCTCATAAAATCTAATTTATCAATGCATCTGCCTCGCCATCAGCCATCGTGCTACTATCATGCGCCTTTATATCTAAAAGTGGTGTTTTTATATCAGGTTCATTGATCTCTTTGTGCCGCACATCACCAGCTCCAATGCCATTTATGGCCGAGTGTCCATTGCAATGTTCGTTTGTTGTTTGTAAATGATTTTCTATTACGGGCTTTAAGTGCTCGTCACTCGATTGACGCACAGTTGGGTATGTGATGCTGCCCTTATCGGCTTTTCCCTGTGTTGAAAAAGAAAGATCAAGCCTATATTTGATACTTTTAATTCAAAATACTTACCATTAAATAGTAGGTCATAAGTTGACCTTTACCCTTAACACTAACAAGTCCACGTTGTTGGAAAGTGTAGCCAAATTCTTGTAGAATATTGCAAGTTTCTTCTGTCACCTGTCGAAAAAAAAAAAAAAAAAACTCAAATTGATTGAAAAAGCGTGGCAGTTGTCAGGGTCTTCTACTTCGGAAACATTTAGATTTTATGGCTTCTAATATACCGGATTTGCACTGGGCATTAAATTACACAATTTGTAATATCCAATTTGGTCATTAAAAAATATCTGCGAAAATATGTATTAACCGACTTCAAAAAAGGAGGAAGGTCATAAATTCATCGGAATATATTTTTTATGTACATATGTTACTGCATAACTGTAGACTAGGGGAACTGTTTTCGATAATTCTTTTTTTTTTTTTTATCGGAAAGGTGGTAACTCGAGTGTGGTCCCATACTAATTTATTTTAGTTCATTGGATCATGAAAAAATTACAATACTCCTAATTTAAAATAATCGTATTTTTGCTTAAAAATTACTTGTTTTCATGGGAAATAGTTATTAAGCTTGTTTCCACGTGACATTTTTTAAAGGAAAAATTCCTTTAATTTTGATGGCTTGTGAAAATTCGACATAATTGCGTTTAAAGTCTGTTTTCTCATTTGAAAATTGAGGAACTTTTTTATTTTATGACTCCTTATGCCGGATTTTCACTGGGCACACAAATTGGGCCATTAAAAAAATTTTGCGTCATTATTTATATAGAAACAATCATTAAGCTTGTTTCATCATACTCTACAAATCTGACATCATTTTAGGGACACTGTACGCAAGATCTCTTCAGCTCTAAGAGTATGAAACAATGAACTCGTACGGTTTAAAATAAAACACTTAAAAATGGAACTCTTTGGCTTGGTCGTACAGAAAATGATGTAGTGAGAGGCAGGGTTAGGTTAGGTCCAGCATGAAGGCATAGTCAAGCCTAAGAGGGCCCGTTGTTATACCGCTTGCTTGGCTAAATGTTGACACCCAACGTTTACCTAGTAAAATAACCACTTACATTGTCTAATGAAGCGTTGTTCATAGTTTGCAGATTTTTGCCCAGCTTCGATTCGACAGAGAGTCGGAAAAAGTACTGATGAAAACACTGCCGCTAATAATTAGACAGTGGTAATGAAAATGTTTTATACTGAAAGTACACATTCTGAAGTGCGGTAAATCGTGTGAAAGTAGATTTAGGCTTAGCTCTCAAACTTACTATACGTTTACGATACACAGTTTATAACTTTGAACTACTCTCAAGCAATGATCTTTCTCTTGAGCTTTCTGACACTTTGGCCTTCTTCTCTAGTCTCCGTGGTTCTCCGAAATTTAAAATTCCTCCCAGGTGAGATAGATCAAAGTATACCAATATAGGGCCCGATTAGATCCCTCTTCACCCTTCAAGGTAAGGCTGGGCGTGCTCCAACTTGCAGACTTTCAGATTACTACGTGTTCAGCGTTGCCAGGTTGACCTTTTTATGGTCATTTGGACGCTTTTTGTATCCTGTTGACGTTTGGATGTTTTTTGTGTAAAAATGACTTTTTTTAACTTCACAGTAATTTTTCTCTATGCACAATATACTTATTCAATGTATAGCGTACTATTTGCTTGTAGAGTAAGTACTGACGCTCACACTTTCGGCAAATTTGTTACTTAACCTTGTAAGTAGAACTGATTTTGAATTATTTTCTTAATAAATCTTTACAAGCTTTGTTTTTTGCAGCAGGTGCATCAAAAGATATTTATTCTTTGGACACATATGACATAAATATGATGCAAACCAAGCGTACTCGCATTTTTTATTTATTTTTTTGATTCTGGTACTAAGGATCCCGCGTTCAAAGGCTGGTTGTGTAAACGCTTGAAGTTACAATATTTGCAATTGCATATTAAAAGCCAAATTAGGAAGAGCTGATCTATTGTAACACGCACGCTCGAAAAGGCACTATGTTCTTTCTTAGCAGAACGAAATTTAGCATTTTCGACAACCGACCACCTAAACAAATGTCTACAAGAAAAAAAATATATATAGCAACTTAAAACTTGCACATTATTGCCCTGGAATTTAATGGGCTATCAAACTGCATACTAAAAAAAATTAAAAAATCTGAATAAACTTGAAAATCTAGCTTGAAAATCTATCTGAAACTTTTCAGATTTTTTATAATTTTTGTACAAAGTTTGAAGTGTGGATTTATATTGTGTTAGTTATATAATGAGCTAGGCTTTTATGAAAAAATAATAAACATTAAATAAACAAACAAAAAAAAACAGCCAAAATCGATCAAAATGTTGATGACTTAATCAGCTGATCACAAGTGTATGTATAAAATGGTTTTTATATTAACGATCTCAAACCAGTTTACAATAGCGGTATTCTTCACCAAATTGTTGCAACAGTCGTTGCTTGAGCTCATCTGCTGTTTTGCCAGAGTGCCAGGCCTCTTGCTCACTTTGGTGAATACCCCTAATGAAATTTAAATGTGCTCTGTCGAAATGACATTTTAATATACCTTACGTTTGGAAATGACGTTTTTTCAGACCAAGAGACGTTTTCTCATGCCGAAAACCTGGCAACATTGTACGTGTTTTACAGGTATCGATTATACATTTTCCCCTATGTTCTCTTTCCATTTTGCCTACGCAAAATATGGGTTTGCTCTCCTTGTACAAGTGTACTCCCTTCTCTGATTAGGAGGAGCTGATATACATATAGCCTAACATAAACCTGAGTTTCAAAACCTTTCTAACGCCAGGCTTACCGATATGCTAAGGAGAGAGATTTGCGTTGGTTTCAAGGAAAAAGGAAAATCGGTATTTTCTGTGAGGAACTTCAGCAGTCGGGCCATAGAAGGCCTGCGAGATCAGGCAGTTAAAGATTCTTCTTTTTTAGCCTTAGAACTATTTGTCTGTGTGACAGTCCTTAGTCAGATATATGTAAATGTGGGTCGTTCCGATTACGTAGAACCGACTATCGTAGGAACGCTGATATAGTTCGTCATTATATCTTTTGTGATACCCGTCGCTTATGCGAACAGGCCATAGATCTTGCGTAGGATAGTTCTAACATACCAAGCTCACTTGGTCCTAATATTTCTTTAAGAAAGTCTATTTTATCATAGGTTTATGCCAGAACTCCCAAGGTTGAACTTTATTTTGAATGAAAGTATGTAGCCCAACTACAGTAATAACTGATGCGGGCCATTCGAGGTCTGTGGTAGCGATCTAAACATTTTGGTTTTTGGTTAAATAATCGAGGCATTCTAAATATAATGGATTTCCGGTTTTCAGTTGCAAAAAATTTCATAGATGGATTATAACAAATGAGAACCAGAATTCGGAGTCAATTTCATCTCACCTGTATGGCACCAGCTTTGCCCGTACTCTCCATGCGCGACGCAACATTCACGGTATTACCCCAAATATCATAATGAGGTTTTCGTGCACCAATTACACCAGCCGTTATTGGACCATGATTAATACCCATTTTAAGCACAAAATGATTAAACGATTGCTCGTTGATACCCTGTAAAGCTTTCTTCAACTCCAGAGCGAACTCCACCAAGATAGCCAGATGGGCCCAACGTTTGGTGATTGGATCATTCGGTTGACTTATGCGATTTGAGTTGATGCCGCTTGCGGCCATATAAGTGGAACCGATGGTTTTTATTTTAATTATATCTTGAAATTGTGGAAGCTCAAGTAACTGAAATAACATTTGAATTCATAAATTACAAGCAGGCTATTTGATGAGCTAAAATTACCGCATCAAAATCGGATATCACTTCGTTTAGAAAGCGCAAACATTCAAGTCCTTGATTGTTAACGGTTTCCTCTGAATAAAAATCTATTGAAAATAAGTGAGTTAATAACTCTTGTGGAAATACACACTTTTGAAAACATCATTTGCATACCTGAAAAGTTGGGCATGCTCGCAAATAGCACACCCACTTCAGCATAACTTTGCGAGTAGAGATCATCGTGTGATCGTTTCGTGTTCTTCATGAAATGTTCTGCTACATGAACGGGTAGTATGTTATAGACTAGCGCTTCATTTCGTTGCCGCATATCTGTTGCCATTTCACGTTGCTCAGCCACTTCTGTTTTCCATTTAAAAATTACACGATCCTCACGATCCATCTGTTGGAAGAAGATGAGACCAAATAAATTAAAAAAAAAATGCAAGTAATTTAATTCGACTTAGGCAGCATTGCAGCTCACTTACATGTCGCGCAAAAAACGTTAATGCCAATGTGACCATAATTAGAACCGTAGATAGGGCGACCGAAGTCGGTATTGCGCTGAAAATATCGAAGATTGTTTACATATGTATATGTGACTTCAAATGGGCCTAAACTTACGGATTAGATGCAAGATCATCCTCGAATGTATATAAATCGCTCAGGAGGAATATATTGCAATAGCAATGAACAGCTGGAAGTAAGTGAAAAAAATAATCAAAGGATTTTTTTAAATCCCATATCAACTCTATATACATACATATGTATGTACAGTAGGGTGTCCCGTCCAATTTTTTTTTTTTAGCTGCACTATCGCAAGAGGTATCGAAATTTGCGTAATTTAACACATGTTAAGAAAAAAGCAAATAAATCAGAATTGTTGTAATTTTAAAGGGCTCTACCGCACCATGAAGTTTACCACTATTTTATATGGGGAAAAAACAGTTTTTCGTAGAAATGGTATAGAATCCTTGAAAATCAATATTTTTCAATCGGCAATCTTTTTTCTCTTTAGGAGACTTCGAAGAATAATACCCAATTATTTATTTAATCACTTTTTAATAATAATGATTTTTTATGGGCCCCCCATTTCATTTTTTGGAGCTTTTGGGGGACCGATAAAAAATATTAAGTATTAAAAACTGATTAAATAAACAATTGGGTATTATCCTTTGAAGTCTCCTAAAGAAAAGAAGAGTTTTGCAATTGAAAAATATTGATTTTTAAGAATTTATACAATTTCTACGAAAAAGTGTTTCTTTTTCATATAGAATACGTGGAAAACGTCATGATGCGATAGAGCCAACAAAATGACACACAATTCTGATTTTTTTACCTTTTTCTTTACATGTGTAAAACTACGCAAATTTTAATACCTCTTGCTCGTGTAGCTCACAAAAAATTTTTGGACGGGACACCCTAATGCACAGTGGCGGGCAAACAAATCGGGTTGAGATATTTCAACAAGTTTTGGCTATTTTTATTTTGTTTATTTAATGTTTATTATTTTTTATGAAGGTATTTCATACTGAAAAAGAATTCAAACTGTTTACAAAAATGAGGGGAATTCCGCAAAGCTTCATAAAAATTAACACCTTAATCAGGTTTTTTAGAAAAAATTTCGATACGTAGTTTTGTTGCACATTAAAGTGTAAGTTTGAGTAAGCGATTGCTTACCGTTGATTTTTGGCGGTTTTTTTTGCTGACGGTGTCACGCTCCACCAAACAACTTAAGTGCTACAATTTTTTTTTTAATGGAGGAAAACGCACAACACCGTCCGCAAAAAAAACTTGTACACCTACAATTTTTTATTTTAATCCTGAATAAAATGTTTGAGATTAGTAGGATGAACATTTTGAAATTCGTAAAGTTTTTATAAATCTTGTACGAAGTTTGTAATTTTGATTTAAAAAACAAAAAGAAAATAACTAGACTTGTTAAAATGTCGCGTCCCTATTTGTTTGTCCGCCACCTTAGGTAAGCGATACCTAAAAGGGAGCTTATACTATGTGCGCCTCTAAATCAGTCACGACCAAAGCATATTTCGCGGTAAAAATTTTCTAAAGATTTCTATAGGTTTATTGTAGGACGCGCACAGAGCAAAAGCTCTCTCTGATTGTCACTTTTCCAAATAAAATTTATAAACATTTAAAAAAATCTCATTTAAACTAAAGCTCTTCAGCGGGCTCCTTTTGTGCGTCTCTGGACCAGTGAGGAACAGAGAGAGCTTTTACCCAGTGAGCTTTTAAGCTGTAAAAAGATCTTTCTGCTCATCGCTGATATAAAAAAGCTTCATAAAGCTATTGCCGTCGGAAAGGTTTCTGTCCTGGCCGGGGTTCGGACCACAGAAACCCAATTCAGAAGTTAATGAATCGGAAAATTGGAGTACAAATATAATTTTGGTAATGAATTTAAGCATTATTTAAATTTAAAGTCTTTGCTTTTGGGGCTTAATATCCGGCTTTCAAGAAAAGCAAAGGCTCCATATAAAAAACGCAAGAGAAACGGCGAAAAAGTTTGCTTATGTCAAATGTCATTTACGCAGTACGGAGTTCATAAGAAGTTTCTACTACGGTTTTCTAAAGTTTATTATGCTTGCAACAGGAATATGTGCCCGCTCCATTATTTCGTGAGAAAAGAGTGAGACAGCAGGCCCTGAAATAACAGATATCAAAATTCCTTGGACTCTACTATTCACAGAAAATAGTGGGATTTTTTTTCTTTGCCGGTTTTTTAAGCGTTGGATACAAAGCTTAAAGGTTTTTGACTCATTTCATAAAGTGAAATTCCAACAAACAGTTACAGAATTTTTAACGTACCAAAATTGCAGATAGATTTAAAGCAAACCGGAGTAGAGCAGTGGGTTTCAAAAAGTGGAGTAAATCTATTCCGCTCGGAGCAAAGTGCGAACGTTGGTGGTGACTGCTCTGAGTACTGGGTAAAAGCTCCCTCTGGGCATTGCTGTCCTCAAATTGACCATCTCATTATGTGCGCTACCGCCTCGATATTTCTCTCATTCTCTAATTTACCTGTAAACACGATCATCAATACGATTTTCGTCATATGAGTTAGTTGCGCAATAACAGCCGTTGCAATTAGTATCAACACAGCAAAGTTGCTCATATATGAAGGATACATAAAGATTTCTCCGGGTATTGGCGGCGACACCTGCATTGATGCCGAGACCGGCTCGGCCACAACAATGCCCTCAGTGATGGCATCTATTTCGCTTTCCAAAACGACATGATCCGTTTTCAAGAAAGTCACAAAAAAGTACTGAAAATAACAAATGTGAAGGATAATACAGACATATAGTATAGGAATGATAGATTATTCATTTACACTAATCTTACCATATCCACAACATTACTGAGTCCTATTGTCACTGCTATTATAATCGCAGCCAATTCTCGTACGAATGTTATATCATTGAAACGTTTGCTAAGACTCACAAAGAATTCAGGTAAATGATCAGGAAAACTTTCGGCAATTGAGATGAAGACGAGCATAGAAATTGGTATCAATGGCGCCGAAATATTTATAAAATGTAACGGTGATCTGTTGGCGAAAAAGATTGCAAATATTTTATTGAATGATTTAAATAAATTACCAACAACAAAACCTACCTTGGAAGCACAATATAAGAATACAAAATATCGATGACTTGAACAATAAAAGCAGCTAGCAATGGCACAGAAGAAAGAGGTTCACGATAAGCTGCATAAGCCTCCTCTAAGTTCTTGTTCTTGAATTTTAGGAAGAATGTTGTGAACTTCGAAAGATCTCTGTAAAATAAAAAATATGTATCATATGGGCGAAGGAGACTTTACCTAAGATTTTTTCAACAAATTAAAAAAAAAAAAAATCGCTCCAGCTTTTACTGAAAAGTAAATAAATGATCTGTGTGTATTTTTAGCGCATAACTTCAAAAATGCAAAATTTTGAGTTGTAATTCTTTTGAAGGCGGTGTGCGATATGTACATACTGAGGAAATTCCCCGCTCTGAATTAATTCAATATTGGCAGCTTTGTGTAGTAAAGTTTATAGATCGAGTAATATAAAAGACATTGACGGATAGGTCAAGAAAATGAGCTTTTTTGTCCGCCGTCACGCTAATCTCGAAAACTTTTAAACGGATTCGGGTGAGTTTTTCTCTAATATTTTCAGTATCGATAGGAGAGTGACCTTTGGTATTTAGAATTTCAATAGGGTTGCCGCCTGTCTAAAAAATTATAAGATCCAAAAAATGAGGTGTCAAATGAAAGGGATTGGCTGCTAGTTAAGCATTAATGTTTTATTTATTTTTTTTTAATAGGGTTGCCGCCAAAATTTCATAATAAGCGAAGGCAACAGCTCTGCACCGTCACTACCAAATTAAAAGACTTAGCCTCTAGATGTGCAGTAATGTATTATGTGTTTCAGTATGGTTGCCACTTGTTTAAAAACTGTAGTATCTTCACCGTTCGTTGGATAAAAAAACGAAAGGGCATGGCCTTCGCATGTACAAAAACTTTCATTTTCTAGTAGAGTTGCCATCTATTTATAAATTACTAACTTACGCAGTATAAAGAAAAGTCGAGATTTTTTATACCATGCTAATCTCGAAAACTACTTAACGGATTTGGACGAGATTTTGTTTAATATAATATGTATCGTTAGGGCAGTTACCTTAAGTACTTTAAATTTGTATAGCGTTGCAAACTGTCTAAAAAATTATAAGATACGTTCGTTGAATTACAAAAAGTGAGATGTCAAATGAAAGGGCCGGGCCTCTATATGTTCAATAACGTTTTATTCTTTTAGTGTTGCCACCTTTTTAAAAAATTATAAGATATTCGCTGTACTAAGAAATGAGGTACCAAGTGAAAGTATATGTCCTGCAGTTGTGCAATTAACTATATTTTTTTGTGGGGTGCTACCTATTTAAAAATTATTACCTTACATGTATGTACATATCGTCACCTGAAATGCAAAGAGACGTAACAAACATCATCGCTGAGATTCGAAAAGCCATCACCAATAAAAACTTCAAAATTCACTTTTTGATTTATATGATGGATTTCATCGAATTACAACTCCCCACATCATTTTATGAAAAACAAAATTAAAATATTAGTCACGACTTTTTCCTTTTCATTTACGATGTTGTTACAGGTTTTTCCATTTCAGGTGATGACATAATACGTGAAGGCATTTTTTGTTTGTTTGTTAGAGGGTTGCCATCTGTACGGAAAATTATAAGATGTTGGCAGTTCGTTGGACTATAATGTGAGTTGTCGAATGAAAAGACTTGGCCTCCAGATGTGCAATAAGGTTTTATTTTTGTCATCAGGTATGCAATAAGGCTTTATTATTATTTTTTTAATAGATTTACCACCTGCTTTCTCCAAATCAGCGCGTGGCGAAGTCTCGCGCATACGAGTTCGTCTAGTTACAATATAAAGGTCGTACAGTTCATTGTCGCATTTTTTCTCTTTATTTCGAATGTCTCTAATGGCTTTTCATCTTTGGTCAGCATCTGTCCATTTTTTGTTTGCCGAGACACAGTTCGCTAATCAATCACTTTATCTACGAAACCGTATCAACTACAAAACATTAATCTCTATATCGACTGCTGAGTGGAAGGTCGACCTCTCTCGGCCGCCAACTCGAAAACGCCCTATCTCAAAAAACTTTTCAAAAGTCCTATTTCAGAATTTGGTTGAAGAACGCCCTATTTCCGAATTCATTTCAAAAACGCCCTATATCCGCACATTTTCAAAACATTTTGAAGTGAGATAGGGCATTTTTGAATCGAATTCTGAAATACGCCGTTCTTCAACAAATTCTGAAATAGAGTGCTTTTCTATAAAATTCTAGGGCGTGCTTGAAAAGTTTTTTGAGATAGGGCGTTTTCGTTGGATTTAAAGAAACCTCATTTTTAGTAGGGAAAATTATATCGTTATCGATATATTTATCAAGATCGATAAATAAAAGTATTAATGCCATTCGATAACATCATTTGCATCTTTGATACACTGATTTGTCGAAATCTTTTATAAAATCGAAAATGTATTATAGGTGGCATACGCGGTGTATCTGACCCCCCATCTTCTTTTGGAAATATAATAGGTACATATTTATTGGTATCGCCACCGTCATCAATTCAGTATCTGTCTATATCAATATATGTTATCGAGATCGAAAACTAAGATTATTGATATCAAAGCGACTCGATAACATCATTGTTATCGTTGTTATCGATTTATTTATCGAAATTGATAATATGATTAGCTATCGTTTCGTTTGAATTCCTGTTAAAGCTAATATCCATATGCTAACCAAAAAAATTTTTAGACAAAATTTACTTCGCCGGGGCCAAAGATGTGTCCCATAAAAATGTAGATATCGAATATGTATTTTAAAATGTAATCTGTATACTTGTTTTCTAACGTAAGCTACTTACTCGTGTCCATCTCGTGCAATTAATTCCTCCTGCAGGCGTACTTTGAAGCTAGCTTGCTTGCTTAGCTCCTGGCTTTTGTTGGCATCTTCAGTCTTGTCACCTTCACTTTTTGACTCAGCTAACAATTCTTCGTCGAGCGCATCATCATCTACTAAATTGCCCACATCATTTTCGCCTACATCACCACATTCGTTGATATTTTTTGTGCAGGGCGAAGCAAACTGTAAAGAAATACAAAGCAATAATTTTATGCCCTAAAAAATATTTTCATGCTGAACACACACCGGCTTCAAAACTTTAGTTATGAAGTAAGTCTTAAGGCCAGCAATGCGTAAAGCCTCTTCTCTGCGTTCGCCATGTGCCGGTTCTACCTCAAATTCGCCGCTGAGGAAAGCCAAGGTTTTATCCGAAATATGCACACGCCTGTAAATATATAGAAAAAAAAGTTAACAACAAAAAAACATAATTTGAATCTCTCATTTCAAAAGGGTAATCCACTCACCCGGCTTTTCCGCTTGATTCCATTTTATTAGCCAATTCAACATCTTTGGAGTAAACATCGAATTGCCACTGCCGCTGACCGAGTATGCCAGCCAATATAGCACCGGTGTGTATGCCCACTCTCATATCAACAGGCGAATTGGCCTTCTGCTGTACATATCTATTTACATGCATAGATACATACATATATATACACACACATACAGGGTAGTTGGCGAAAGTGAGGCAGACGAAGAATAAAAATAAGAATCAGCAAAAATTGCAGAAAAAAGCAAACGTTCGCAAATGTTGAGATACTGATCCATAAAAATATATATGTATGTACATACCACACATACCTACATATGAATATAGAGGAAGGAAGGCATGGCGTATACTTACTTAATAGCTTTCACCATTGAGAGGCCCATATGTACACAGAGCACAGCATGGTCGGGACGTTCGTCAGGTGCACCACTAATGCAATAATAGCAATCACCAAGGATTTTAATTCTTAACTGATGGTATTTCTATGTAATTAAAGGTGAGAAAAGCGGAAAGTTAACATAGGTAGATATTTACGTAAATATTTATGTACGCACACATTGTAACAGCAGCTAGCATGAAAATGATTGATTAGTGTGGAGCATGTGCTTGTTTAACTGTCGTCAGAATTTACTTACGAGTATGTGGTGGTATTTGAAAAATGCACTACCTCTTTTACAGAGAAAAATCGAAAATTGATGAAAATAAACGTGACAAGTATTTACTAATAGAATAACATGTCTCCAGTTGGCATGAACAACTGGCGGAACTTTCCAAAGGAGATTGCGAAATGCCAAAATAATTAAGCGGATTTGGGGCAATCCATCCATGTAGGTGGATGAAAAGTTCACGAATCAAAGATACTCGAACACGTTAAGATTTACTTGATTAAATAACATACATATGTTACCCGGAGGGAGATTCTCTAGACAAAGCGCTGATGCCGTCTAGAGCCTGTCGCGATTTCTGTAACCGAGATTTTCTCGACAGTGCCAAAACAGGTTGTGGCGTTAACTACACTTTCTTACTGGTTAACCAGTTCAGGTGCTAGTTAGATTTTCTCTAGTAGGTTACGTTGGCAGCGTACTGTCCTGAGTATCTGCCAGGCGACAGCCTTAAAAGCGTATCCTTGACGAGCACAGGATATTTAGGTTGTCCTGAAACAAGTTTATCTTGTTAGAGCCTAGACTGGCTACAGAATAATCGCTTCCCTTTAAGATAATCACTTGTGTTGTTGGGAAGATACTTTTTAGCAGTGCCTGGACTGGCTGTATCCTACAAAATCTCATCTGGAGTAACAAATACTGTTATCAAATCAGCAACTTTTTTCTGACAAAAGTTTTCTTGATACCGTCATGGCAAGCTCTGGCAAGTGAAAGCCATATAATAATAAACTATCAGGCCACTGGGTATTTTTTCCGGAGCTAAGCTTTCTGTGCCAAAGGTTAGACTGGCTGTAGTATACAAGAACTCATCAGAGATTTTCATTTCTGCAGCTGGAGAGATTATAGTCATAGACCCAAAGGTTGGACCTAAGAGAAAGGAGTGTTAGTGAGTAGGTGTAAGAAAGCAGGATAAAAGTTGCATCTTTTGGGTCTCCTTTACAATTAGGACATGTGTAAAGTATGTCTGAGTCTATTTTATACTTTTGTAACTTATGTAATGCGGTATCCCTATCCCACACACATTTTCTTGTCTTTTATGAAAGTGTAATGCCTAATACTTGGTACCAAAATCTATGAAACCTCCATCGTTAGTATAGCTTGTACACACTTACCTCTGCAAGCCTATCGAATCGTGCGAATAGTTCATTCAACATTTTAACCAAATCCTGTGCACTGTAAGTGGACGAAATGGCGGTAAATCCGACAATGTCCGCATAAAGAATGCTATAAATGGAAAAAAGCAAGCAGTTATCGGATGAAAAAAATAGTGAAAACACCGTGCGACAAAAACCACACAAAAAAATTAAAAATACTCGAAACATTCAATATACTCTCGAAACTAGAAGTCAAGTATAGTAAAACTTCATTTGGTTTTTCTCTCAGGATTTTTTACAAAGGAAAAAATTATTTAAAAAATTAAGTGCAATGTGGAATAACAATATGGGTAACAAATTAAAGTGAAAATTCTGTAGAATTTAAAATAAAAATTCGAGTTTTTTGGTTAAGAATAACGACTGGACGTTGAAAATGCCGAATTAAATTTTTTAAGCTAATAAATTTAGGAATACGAAATTCGAGAATGTATTCGTATTTATATTAGTCTTTACTATTTTTTCTTTTATTTGATACCCACATTTTTATTCTACTTTGCACTGAACTTTAAAATAATTTTTTTCATTTCAAATTCAATTTTCAATGTCTCTTAAAAAATTCTGACCTCAGAGAGAAAAAATAAAAACACAGTTTTACTATATTTGGCCCATAGTTTCGCGAATATATTGATCTTTTTGTGTGTGAAATTGACTGTCGCACAATGAAATAGTTCCTTAAATTTGAGAAAATTGAAAAATTCCAAAATCTCGTAAATTTCTAGGTAATATTTTTCGAGTTTTTCGGTTTTATAGTGTTTATGATAGTCGCATAAATAAATAAAAAACACACCTCACGTTTTCATGCCTGCTCATATAGATTTTCTTGAATGGTTCCGAACTCGTCGAACCCAGATCCTGACGCATTTTTACAGCCACATGCTTTGGTAATACAGAAAGCAATAAGCGTTCCTATAGAAAAAAAGAGAATATCGTATAAGTATACCATTATTTCCTAAGTAAATATTTCATTTCTTTGGTCAAACCTGCTCGGCAGACTGTTCCTCGATAATCATTTTCACTTCGAGACTCTTCTTGGCTTGCAGAAAAGCACGCTTCTGTTTTGCCTCACTCATAAAATAGTACATGAGACCAATGGTTGATGCCGGTAAAATCAAGCCAACGTTTGCTAGTATCTAAAGTTAACATTTTTGTTTATCAATTTTACCAAAAAAAAAAAAAAAATAACCAATGCAAATTAAAATCAATATTTACTTGTTGTAGGAATATCGGATCTCTTCTCGCAAAAAAATATATTTGCAATGGATATATGGCAACAGTCAAGAAACCCATGCAGCAACCATTGTAAAAAAGCTCAATAGGCAAAGTAACGTAAATTAGAAAGTTGAAAAGTATTATCCAACCGAGTGTATCTCTGTTGAGTAAAAAAAAAAATTGCAAATAAAAAATTATTGTATAACCATTGAAAAAGAAAATCATTTTTTGGCGACCATACCTTGGTGAGGTATTAGTACCTTGCAGATACAAATACACGGTGAAATGCGTCAAAAAGAGGCCCCATAGTAGATACGAGGCATGTTTCGTAATTTGTTCGTGTAAGTCTTTAACGTTTTTCAATGCGCTCAGTCTCAGATCCAAAACTATGCTAAGCATCACATTCGTGCAAAGCACAAACAAAGTGAATACTTTAAAAACGAAATATATGTAAATAATATAAACATTAAAGGCAATCTTCAACGCCTCGATTGGACATACATACATATGTATGTATGTACATTAGACTGCATCACAAAAAAAAAGTTGCGGTTTTTCGTCGGGATTACAACATTTTTTTTATATTTGAAATACTTCGGAAAAGTATTAATATTGACCGGAGCTGCACCGATTTGAAAATACCTCAAAAAATTAATTTTTTTTATGAATAAAAATGGTTTCTTAAAGTACTTTTTGAAAAAAAAAAAATGCCCTCAGATGTCCAAACAGTTTAAGCTTAAAAAATCTGCATAGAAATGTAAAACAAAATTTCAACGGAATCATAATGAATGAAACTTGAATAACTCATCCAAAATTATTACGATTTAGACTTATCGAAAGGTATTTTCTCACCCTTTGTAATTCTTTGCAAAAAAAATTAATCTAAGTATTTAAGAGAAAGGTAAGATAAATGAGCGTCATTACAAGTTGAATTAAGATGTATTGATATTTGCAAATAAAAAATTGGGACGTGAATGTGTTTATTTGCAAATAAATAAACAGCGTGAGAAAATGCCTTTCCTGGTATCTCAAAAACGGCATGAAAAATCTAATTCTTATCATTCCGTTGAAAAATTTTGTTTAATATTTTTATAAAAAAATTTTATGATTACATTTTTTTTTTTCAGCTGAGGTACTTTTTTTCAAAAAATAACTTAAAACCCCTTTTTTAAATATTAAAAATCATAAAATTTTTCCGAAATATTTTGGCGCAAGAATATTATGGATTTTATAGTTGAAATGGAGAAACAGTACCGATTATTTTTCGTATGGACAGTGATGCAGTCTAATTAATGTACATATTTACATACATTAAAAAAAAAAGTTGTCAAACTCACCAAGCGGAACCAGATTCTGTTCATGCGGTATAATTAGCGTCCAACCATTGAAGAGTATCGCTGCAAACAGAAACCATTTGAAGCCCGCACGACGTTGTTTCAAGAAATAATTGTGAAATAATTTATCCAATACAGCATCTGGTAAATCGACTGCATTGCCCGTAGTCTTCGCCGCTGCACTTTCGTCCCCATCAGTAGCAGCAGCACCACCACCACCCGCTGTTGCATTGTACCCATTATCTGTTGTTGCATTTGAATGTTTGCTGTTGTTGCAGCTCTTCTGTACGCCATTCTCAATGCTTGCCGTTGACTTGGTCTCCGGCATTGCGAGGTTATTTTACTCTTCTTCGTATGTGTTTTTTTTTGTTTTTATCGTTTATATATTGTATGTATGTGTGTATGTAGTTCTTGTTGCCTTCACTAGTTCTTTTATTTTAATTCGATTGTTCGATTAGTTGCGATGGCGTTAATTTAATTGCTTTCACTAAGTTTGAATTGACTCACAACCGTAAAAGTGTAGTGGTTTGTATGTATGAATGCCATATGTATTGTTGTTTGTTTGCTTGCATTTGTAACGTTGATTGAGTGCATTGATAGCTGCATACATATGAATGTGGATTAAATGAATAAAGTTTCAATTATTGGGTGTATTCATGAAAATTTGCGAACTCGTCTCTAGTTTGCGCAACTAACATATTTCAGCTGTTCTCATTCTATATATATAACTAAATAAGTGCAGTTTTCATTTTCCATTCCGAAGGTCAATCAATATATCTACAAACATACGTACATACATATATAAGTATGTACAGTAAGCTGTAGCGCGCGCTATATAAAAACCCGTTATTTTATTTAAATCTACGAGTATATTTCATTAAAGTAAAGATTTTGAAAACTTTTCGAGCAAATAACACAGGTTTACAAAAAAAAGTTTATGCATAATTAACCAAACCTATATGTATATCCCTATGTTATTCAATACGCTGAATGCGAATCCGAGTTCCGGGGTGCCGGGGCGCCAGGCTTGAGTGCCAAAGATCGTGGTGCGGATTAGGGTTGCAAAGCGCTATACGATTTTCACCCCTGAAGAGCGCACCCTACATATGTATGTCAGGATGATATCCCGCCGGTCGGCAGGTGGCTAAATATTTCTATCCCGACATCGCCTGACCGGAAAGCAGCTATGCCCTGACATTGAGGGTGATGTCCTTGGAACACTAGACCTCCACCATTGTCTCCCTCGCGATATTTACAGAGCAGATTGTAGGCGTCGGCATTCAACAGAGTCGATTTACTGTGCAATTTGCTTCTTGGATCGCGCTTTTCAGTATGCCATGCCGATCCATAAAGACAGTTATCGCTTTGATCTTACTCTGAAGCCCGTTGCAGACTGAGGTCAACGTTTCGGTATATCCTGTTTTGACACACGGAAGAGACTGTGTGGTGAATAAAGAGGTGCTGGTTAGCAATCAGACGGGAATTGTGGCAGGTTCTGAGATTACTCCATCCGTTACAGGTATTGCACCTAACCGAAGCATTGCACCTATATATTTACTGGTCCGGGGTTGGACTCAAGCCCTCCCGAATAAGACGGATGCGGAGCAATCCGGCTGCAAGATGTTGTACAAGAGGCGAAAAAAACCTTAGTAATTCCGGTACGTAGAACCGGCTGTCGTGGGAATGGAGTGCCACCGTAACCATCATTGCTTGCATCACCTTCGCCACTGCTCATGCCTTGTACTGGTGGTTGGATGAATACCCTAACTACCCGCTAATAAAGTTAATTTTGTTCCTCCGAACAAAGCTCTTCTAGGTTGTCTTTACAAGAAAATTAGTTAAACTTTATAAAAAGTTTTATAAAATACCATTATAAAAAAAAAAAATGGCGTGAAAATAGTAAACAAAATTATCAAAAACAACGTTATAGGGTACATCGGCCCTTTTTTATTTCACTTCACTTTGCAATGTGAGCACTTCGAAAGCTTTGAATCAAATGTTATCTTTTTTGCAGAAGTTTTAGCGCCAATATTTTAGCGTCATTTCCCACATCTTCTTTTGTTCAGTTTTTACAGACCTTCAAAGCGGGCTCTAATTGTATGAAAACGTCTGGGTGACAACCTTTGTTGTTGTGATAGCTCAACCCTGCTTAGAAGCGGCTAATCCTTCAATCTTTGTCGCCAAGCTCAACTAACTAACGGCAGGCCCAGGAATCGTGCTGTATCGTCGGGGTCAGACCAACGGCAGGCGGTTAATAGTTGTGTTGAATTATGACGGCATGTGAAGAGGTGGTTTCGTGAGGCGAACCTTCACATTTGTGTCATACGTTAGGAACGTCGGGGTTAAGTGGGTATAGGTAGGAGTTTAACCTGTTGCAGTATTCAGACTTTAATTAGGTCAGAGTATAGCTGGTCTCTCTCTGCAATTATAGGGCATTAAACTCCGATGACGATATTCCCGGGGTGGGAGTTGATGGTATTGATCGGGCAATGATGGTAATGGTCTATCTGTGAACGTCGTTAATTGCCAGCCCGTTAAGTGTCGGATGCTGTGGTTGCCTTACGTATGTATTTAGTTCCGGATGTTGTCCTGCTGTTCATAGAGATACCTTCTCTCGTAACTGACCAAGTGCCAGTTCGGGTACTCACGTCTTTAGCAATCGACATGGAACTGCTTTGTGATCATAACATTATGTTCCGCTACTGTGACCATCTAGGCCTCACTGTTTAGGTGGTGTTCTGGCGAAATCAGAAGGTATCCCGTAGCTGCCCGTAGTGCTGTACTGTGTCATTCTTTATAAGAGTGTACAAATGCTGGCGTACGTCGACGACGTCGAAATTATCGGTAAAAACAAGGGATATGTCTATTCTGCCTACTCGAGGTTAGATAGAGAAGCAAAGCTAATGGATCTGGTGGTGAACGAGGACAAAACTAAGTAACTCCTGTCATCAGACAAATAATTTTAAGTATGCGTTTTATATATAGCCCATTGAATTTTAGTAGGATAAAGAAGACGCAAGAAATTCGCTTTGATTTTTAATAATTTTTTAGGTGACGGTGTTATGCATTTTTTTCCATATAAAGTATGCTCGACCACCATGTGCTCGACAGTGCTCATAGTTTCTTTATAAAAATGTATATGGAAGAAAATGCGTAGCAGCTTCAACATAAAAAAAAAAATATTAAAAATCAACGCCATCTTTTCTTCCCACGGCTCCACTGTCTAGTAGAAACTTATTGCTCTAAGAGATCTTGTAGATAATTTTCACTATCGGGAATAATAGACCTAAAAAATCTGCAGTGATCATGAAGCTTATAAACTTTCGTCAGTGGAAGCTGATGATAACAAGACGCCAGTTCTTGTAAAAATGTTACTTTTTAAACCGTTAGTCAATATTTAAATTCACATTAAAATGAAATATCTTTTCATATTAAAAATATTTATCCTTTTCCTGGTTGTACCACATCAGCCAAACTAGCCTTATCACAAATATTGCATACGAATAGGCGCACAACCAAGCCGCGTTGTAGCTGTAAACCCCTTTTAGATTATTATGCGCCTGCAGTAAGAAAACACACAGAAACACAGTAGTAGCAAATACGGAAATTAAAACCGCTAAAGCATATGAATCACGAATCGTCGAGTCGCTTTATTTCCTTTAACCATTTAAAATCCAATTTAATACCGTAAATAGTTGCCTAACTAAACGCATTCAATATTTATGCGGAAATGTGCTAATAATAAAAGCCACTGCCGCACAAACAAAGTGGCTTCCGAATACAAATCCAACTTAAAGGAGAGAGCGGCAAGCGGTCGGGGCAGGCAGAGGTCACAGTCAATCAGTTGGTGGGTTGTCATAGCAGCTGCAATAAAGAAAGCTTTCCATACACGCGACTACACAACGACTCCCCCACTCATTCGAAAAGGAGCTGCTACACTGACAGTTAGTTAAATGGGGGTGTATACATACATACATACATACATACATATGTATGAATGTGTGTGTGTGTGTGTACCACTGTCTTTGGCTTGTAGGAACTGCTCAAGGTCCAGCCAATGTCTTTGTAGAAATTGCAGTCGTTTGTATGCATGTAGGTATGTATGTATGTTTTGAGGTGCTTTCACATCCGTCGGTATGTATGCATGTGTGAATGTATTTCCAAGTGTTATGGTAGGAATCATAAAGTGCACACCAATGCATTGCATTTTTTCAAGGGCTACGTCAATGAGTGCTGGCGCTATGGCTTTCACTTTGCTATGTTGGTGTTTGTATGTACATATATTTGTTTATACGTATTATAACAACATACCCGTACGTACGTATAACCTCGCATGTCACACATTCGAGATGTGCTTAATTTTTAAATGGCCATTCGCAAATGAATTCTCGGCACGCGCACGCACCGCACGCACACTTGTAAACTAACGCACACATACGCACGCACGCACGCACGCACGCTGATACACATTTTGTGCAATTAAATCGCAGCAAGCGGCAACTGACAGCTCAGTTCCATAACCTAAGATGGCCGAAAGGAAAACGAGCACCCAACCAACAGACGCTGACTTTGTGTCCCAAGGCAGTCAGCCAAAGTTGGCTTATAAGTGGTTTGCTGCGACGCACAGCGCTCGTTCGTTCCGTTCGCTCCGTTCGCTCGCTGTGTGTGCTGTCTGTGGTGCGTGTTGAAAAAAATCCTTAAAGCTCATTGCGGGATGATGCGAGTATACAAATTAAGGGATGTTATATGCATACATTTAGGCGTATGTATATGTACATACTTTACTTCACAAAATATACAGCAAAAAATAGTGAAAAAATATTAGGTAAAATAATTTTTCATTTGCTCCTTGACTAAATTATCCATTTTCCATATCATATTTGCCAAAAGCTACCACCACCAGCAGTAAATATACCTAGTATAAACCATAATCGAAAAGGTACACAAAAATCTTGACATTGCCCAAAATTGATAAATTGATTGCTTGGCTGAATTTTTGTCCTTTGCCATGGTACACGCAACAAAGTATTGTAAGCTCAGTTTTCACACTTTTCACTCGATTTTGCACTACACACGTTTTGATGAAATATGAAGCATACTTTTCGGCGTTATTCGCTATACCATTTTTTAAATATTTATACCTTTTTTTTAATAATCTGTTATATATATTTTTTTTATGTTCACAAATATTTGTTGTAATACGTTTCGTTGTCCGAGTTTTCCGAGTCAGGTGTTCATCCGTAACTATTCCAAACGAAAGACTAAATCTGGAATTTAACAGGAACTCGCCAATGCACCAGTAGCAGCAGCAGCAGCAGCAGCAGGCAAGATGGATTACTTAATAGTTGGTGTGTATGTATTGCTGCTAAAAAGTGCTACAAGGAAAAGCTTACGAAGCCATAATAAGCTCAGAGCGCACACCAAGCAATTAAAAGCTCCGTCAAGGGAGCAGCATAAACTCAATGCAGCATGTGCGCGTTAACTCGGCTAGCTGGCTGGCTACCTGATTGGCGGGATATTAAAAGGCGCGAATGCCGTATATAAACAAACACGATTCGCACGGCAGCTAGACATGCCATCAGTGCCAGCAAGTGTTCTGATAAGGAAGAGCGTTGTGAGCGCACACATAAACGCAGATAAGCCAGCTATTCGCTCCCTCTCTCTCTTTTTCGCTCTCTCTTCTGAATGCATTTTGTTGCCATTCATGCGCGCGTTAAC